GAGTTGCCCTCTACTTGCCCGGATGGTACCTGTGATGGCTGCCGGTAAGTCATATACTACAACTAGGATAAGAATCCCATTAACAGTCTTTGGACTGCTAGTAATATTTGACGAGTGCAATAGTATTACTGTGTTTAACTATTTTCGCTCTCATTCATAGGTTTGAGATCTTGTGGCGCACACCTCATGCGTGTCCAACCTGTTCGGAATTTGATTACCGCAAAGTAACTTCCTCGTGTGAGGTAGGTTTGAACTTCGTATGTTATTATCCCAAGTGTCTACTTGAAAGCGTCTTGCTAGATATGTGGTAATACGATCGAGGGCAAAGTAAAGAAGGTTTGTGGGGGTATATCAAGGGTTTGAGGTGGTGTGTGGTGGGGGAGAGGAGGGGAGTGGAGGGGGGACGGGATTTGTGTGAGGGTGGATGGGATTTGTGTGAGGGTGGAGTTGAATATTCTTTCCTAAACTTCCGTAGCCGCGGTTCAGGCGCGATATGGGCGCGGTTATCTCACACGAGTAAAAATCCAATTCTACTTTAGCGAGCAAAGTAGTCGGCCTGAACTCCTGGGATCGGGTGCTTCTCTTTTTAAGATCAAGAGCTGGTTTGTTTTTAAATCACTCAGTTTTATTAAACCAATTTTGAGTGCGCAATCTTACGAACAAATATTTCTTTTAGAGTGGAAATAAGAAGACTACATATATGTGGAAAGAACCGAGGTAAGAAGCCGGTTTTGCTCCGCTAGGCTTAGCAATCATGCATCGCTGATGTGTGGTTTTGTTGATCATTTCAGAGTTTGCCAAGGAGGAGTTCCCCTGCCTGAAGAAATAGAAAGCAAATGTAGTATTTTTGAGCAGTCAGTTGGCTCAGCCATGAGGGATTTCAAGGTATAGTTAAAGGTCACTATGCCGGTTAGTCAGTTAGGCTATTAGTCAGTCAAACGGAGCGACAGCCAGTCAGTCAGTCAGTTAATCAGTCAGTCAGTCGGTAGGTCAGTTGATCAGTCAGTCAGTTGGGCTGCAGACAGTCAGTCGGTCGGTCAGTTGGTCAGTCAGTCAGTTTGTTTGCCGTCAGACAGTAAGTCGGTCGGTCAGTTGGTTCGTCAGTCAGTTGGTTCGTCAGTCAGTTTGTTTGCAGTCAGACAGTCAGTCGGTTGGCTAGTCGGTAGGCTAGTCAGTCAGTCAGACATTCATTCAATTGGTATGTCAACTTGCCTTCCAGTTCTTCTGTCTGTCTTCTGGACAGACAGACAGTAAGTAAATCAGTAATCGATTAGTTAGGCAGTCGTTCTTGCGGCTTCTTGCAAGCGTCTTTTTTCTTCCTCATAACAATGCTAGGGATCTTATTACGTATACCATCGCTACTCATTTTTTTTTTTTTGTGTTCAGATTGTGATTGCTGTGGTAGCTGCCCTTGTTGTGCTAATGATCTGTGCAGTGTTTGGCCTGTGGTACAATAACCGAAAGTACGTAAATCAAAATTCTCTTAGCTAATGCGTATTGATGCATTTGGCCTTGTATGCTCAGTTTTCGGCTTGAGTGGTCTGGATTCGAGCTCATGTCTGGTGGTTGTCTTATGTTCTTTGGGCAGACTCAAGTCTCTCACAGCTTCTCCTTGTTCGACCATGGACCAACGTTATTCACAATTGGATTTTATGTCATGAATTGTATGTGTTGTTTACGTTTGTCATTTTATTCGCGGTAGGCTGACATATAAGTATCATCGGTTGGTGAATAAGAGTGGTGATAATTCGGGTGAGCTGCCTGGGGTCGAGAGATGTGTGGTGGACGACGACGAGGAGGAGGATGAAGAAGAGGTAATTTGCCTTAGATTTCTTTCTTTCGTGAACTCTGGGATGATGTTCGAGTGTCCTCGTAAACTTCTTGTGCCTACTAGGTCTTCCTTCTTGGAAGGCCGTAGGCACTATGTTACAGTGTCGTGGAAGTCCGTAAATCTTCCTCCAAACCCCTCTGGGTTTTCAAATGGCGGACTACAATTATACATCAATGGGCACATGCAGTCATGGAATGCCATCTATTTATTTATTAAAGGCCCACTTCGAACCTTGATGCAACACTGTCGTTTGTTTTTGTTTTGAACCGCCGATTTTGTTTAATTAGCACCTCTGATTGGTCTGTTATTTGCTTTTTTGGAGTTGCTTTTCAATTCTTTTGTAGAGCAGTAACCTCACTGGGTTGCAAATTATTTTTTTGCTTGAATACTGTAATCTCTCTAAGTAGCTCTCAAGGGCAGTAGAGGGCTAAGCCGGTGGCATCCAGTTTCATATGAGATGGATGTTCTTTTGTCCGTGAAAGGTGTATTGGAGGCGCTTTCATCTTGCGAACAGATCTCGTAAGAGCTGGCCTCATTTAACGTATTGTTCGAAACTTTCCACTTCAAAGGGTACAATTTCCAATTAAATTCGGACCAAATTCAAAATTCTGCATGGAAACTGTAAAATGACGAGCAGCGAATGTATTTACCGTAAAACAATTGACTATATGTCTAGGATGGCTCTTGAGAAAGACGATTTTAGGAGGTTTTCAGTAATCGAGGAATTTCGTGTTACAGGAAATAGGTCGCGGCGCGCGTTGCATCAAGGCTGGAAACGGGCTTTTAAGTGCGAAGCAAGTATCTCTGGGTGATTTCCGCGTGAGTTGTCTGTAATCTACGGAAAGGTTCGGGCGATGATGTCAATCAAACCTCGCGAAGCGAGATGTAACTTAAAGAGCATGCCTTCATATTGTTCACAATAACTTTGTGTTGATTAATGTTTGTTTTTTTCTTTACCTAGGTTCATTTTAAAGTTGGTAAGGACCGCGGGAAGAAGATTCTAAAGAAAATAAAAGACATGGCTAGTGGTGGAAAGAAGAAGGTAGGATTTTTTTGTTTTTATGCCCTCACTTCTACTCCTGTAGAATTCCTGGAAAATATTAGCACGGAACAGGAAGGTTTTTTTTCCGTTCTTGCTCTGACTTTCGTTTGACGTTTCCTTCGTTTCGATTTTTTTTTTTTCCGTAATAGTTTTAAAGTTTTTTGTAACAGCAACAGATCAATAGACGACGTGTACTATTCAAAAAAACTTTCCCGGGAAGGTTATCAACAAGCATCCTCCTCACGCTTCAGACCCAGTTTTCTTGGCGCGCGTCTTAATATCGAGCGTGGGATACTGGGTGAAAGAGGCCGAGACCTTCACGGTGCTACTAAGCTGGAACAAGAAAGTCTCAGGCCCCAGAATTTCTTGAGTTGCATACCTTAACATACCGTTTCTGTACAATGTACTTAGTGATGTGTTTTTATCCTAGGAGAAGGTTACATTTGATGACGATGACGATGAATATTTTGAGTCTGTTCACCTTGAGCCCGGAAAAGACGCACTCGCTGGTGACTTCCAGTAAATATCAAACACGACACATAAGGCATGCTGTTAAGCAATCACATGAAACTCAATCACAAAATTGGGCCTCTTGTCTTCACCGCTACCCTACCATTAATACTAATCAACGAGTCGGAGGGATAATAAATAAAAGAAGCTATGTCACTTTATTTTCAGTCAGTTATTGCGCCTTGCAAAATCCACCTTTTGTCTTGAAGCAGGCCACAAAATATTAGCTAGATAGGTTAGAAAAAGCTTGAAAGAACTGCCGGATAATAAACCAACAAGGAACAGGGATGACTTAAGATGGAGAAGATTGACACGCCAGAATTGCAAATAACGCCATCTTTAGATATTCGGGCCAATTTTCAAGATTCTTTGACTGTGGCGTAGATTCTTTCACAATTAGATATCACACAGCGTTGACAAGTAGCTAGACAATTGCTGTCTATTAAGCTAACTTCATAGATACTTTTCCTTGATCTTATGGTAAAAAAAAAATAGTGCAATTATTTAGGTGGCTTTCGTGACAAGTACTGTTTTCCTGTAGTCTTCAAAGAAACGTTTTCATTGTTCATGGAGAATAGCGTTATGAATTTCGTGGGAGACGATGCGCTTTCCCACTTTCTGACATTCTTTCCTTCAAAACTCCCAATGCAAGTAAGGGAACTTGGTCGCCTTCCATTTTTGGCTCTTTGGATAGGGGAATTTATGATAGTGATAACAGAACAACTACTTGCAGCAATTAATGCTGAATTGCGAGTTGTTTTACAACCAATAAAGGCGAATCTAACAGATACCCCCTTCCCCCAATTCCCAGTAAACAGGCCAGACTACATCACAGTCGTCTCGTGAAGTGGGTTCTTTAACGTCCCCTGCCTAACCAAATTAAACTAATTAATAGATACAGGAGATGGGACCTACGGTTTATTCGTCCTTATCTGAGAAGACTAGAATGTCCATCCATTTCTTGATGTTTTAAAAAGGTAGCACGTACTCCTCAGTTATTTTAAGACCCTGAGTGTTGGTCCGGCAGGGGCTCGAACCCTCGACCTCCCGCACATCAGTCCGGCGCTCTAACCGATTGAGCTAACCGGGAGGCTCAACAAATCTTTTCTTTCTGTAAATCTATTGATGTTGAACGCACCATTTGTTTGCTGTCGTAATGCACAAGTTACTGTTTTAAAGCTGATTACTGAAGAAACATGACTTATTTAAACTTGATAAGGAATCGTGAGCCAGGCAGAAACAGCGATCGGCCTTTTTTAAGGTCTCTTCAAGGTCTTCCATTATTAACTCTGTAGCGTGTTTTAGTGAAATTTAATTTCCACAATAACCACTATCGATTCTACGCACCATCTATGCATATTTACGGAAAAATCATAATAAACATTAATAGTAGCCAGTTTGTTTAGTTTAGCTAGAACAGAGAGCATGAAAGTTCACCGCACATTTTCAGTGACATATCCCAAGAACTCAGAGTCAGACATTTAGATTAAAATTAGTCTTAGCTGTATTTTATGTCTTAATTTGAGTGAAGGACATGTTGGAAAATTGCATTGCGAGATGTCTGTGAGGTGATGTTATAGATCGGCGAAGACTCGCGAACTTTCGGACGTCCTCGAACTTTCGGGCGTTCGTCGGAAACGATTCTCTGTGAGAGTTAAATCTCGAATGTTAATAATCATCTGTAATTTAATTTCTTCGCCTTAACATTAAATTCACTCACAAACGTGGTGGAAGAACTGTATTTTTATCCTTGGACAAAATTGTCACATTTAGTGTTAGTAGCACATTTGTAAGAATGCTTCCCTTGTGTTGTAATAAACTATTGAGGGATGTTATTCTTGGTCTGATACATATAACGGAAAGGAACGATCGTATAAAGCTTGGGTAACCTTCCAGAGGAACCTCCAGTGTTTCTTCTAATGAATTTGAATATACGAAACTTTTATATGCGAACTGCTTTTACATAAAATGTATGAAAGCGATCCTCGTAGTGACAAACCCTACTTGTGTAGTAGGGGGCCATGGGTTCAAATCCGGTACAGGCCTTATTTCCACTGCGATACCAGTGCAGTGCTTTACCAAACTAAGCTAACAAGCCAACTGGGAGGTGGTCATTATGACCAACAATGGGAGGGGGGGATATCGAGGGAACTTTCTAGGGGTAGGGTAAGGAGTTCCCCTTTTGTCCCAGTTCGTAGCGCCCGAAGGTTAGCCTGCGTCGCAGACAGTCTAAACCGCCGGTATAGACGGTATATACCGGGGATTGTGTGACACGTCCGGCTGCAACGCAGGCTACCGAAGGTTTGTGATGCTCATAACCAAAGAGCTTTAACTGGGATACATTGATAAAAGGTTTATAGTTTAAGCAACCTAGAGGTGATAGGCGTAGTTTTATTGGTCCCTTTCTCTACTTTTCCCTCGTGCCGGATAAGAGGGAATACGGCTGCTTATCGATAAGTTGTGCCTAACCGCATAACCGAGGAGTACTAGTGACGAGTTTTTGAGTCGCACGACTTTCGGAAATGATCAGCTAAACCAATATGCTGCTTTTTAAAACCGGCTGATAGACTGTTTCTATCCATAAAGGAAACAGTCTGGTCCTGATGACGACTGACACTTGTATACAGCTGGTTCTAGCCGAACTGCCCTTACTCAAAAACCGGTCACGTTTCATCCTCGTACACAAACTGCATATGACCGTTTTTGGTGCTATCAGCGAAAGAGTTGGGCGATGAATCATAAAACATTGGGAAGTCCCTTTCTTTAGGTATTTAGCTCACACGAAAGCCCTGATTTAGTATAGAATCAGTTGATTTAGTATAGAATTAACTAAATCAACTGATGGAAAAACCGTGTATAATTAAAGTNGGATATTTACCGAGCCGCGAAGCGGCGAGGTAAATATCCACCGCTAACCACCGACACTGAGGTGAATAGTTGTTTTAGTATATACTAAAACAGTGAGATAATATACACCACCGTCGTTAATTTGAGTGATTTCTTCGCTGGTCACGGATGCAAACCGGGACGCCATATTTTTCCCGAGTTGCTCGGAGGTAAATAGCAAAGAATATTCGGAGTTTGACTAGCCAATCAGAGCGCGCCTTCAATGCTATCCACTTTTTTAGTATATACTAATTGTTATTATTAAAAACTAGATCATTGGATAATGCAATTCAAGACTTTTTATTGGCTTAGCCATTATGGTATATCAGCCAATATACCATAATCTACAGATATGGCCATCGTACGTGTCCGTTTAATATTAAAAGGGAGCTAAAAATTTAATTAAATTTTATAGTTAATTCAACGTTTTTAATAAAACAATTATTCCACTCGCTCTTGTTGGATATGAGATGATTATAGCCAACTCAGCGCTACGCGCCTCGTTGGCTATCTATCATCTCATATCCAACGCGCGCTCGTGGAATAATTGTTAAATATAAAGTTATCCTATCCTATCCTATCCCTGGTTCTCTCTATGAGCAAAAATAGTCCATTTTAATGTTGCGTGCTTGGTTGCCAAGCCTTTGAATGGGAGTGAGCTGCCTTTCAAATGTAAATCACTTTGTTATCATGCTAAGTAGATACAGGTCTCTATCACAACAAGGTCACCTTCAGCCTCACTCTGAATCAAAGGCTTGGCAACTAAGTACACAACTGTAAAATGGCCTATTTACGTTCTACCGGCAAATACAAGTTTAGTTAACCAAAGCACTTGCTCGGTGATGGGCATAAATGGGAGGGAGTTAGCTGAAAGGAAATTATTCACCCTTTACTTATTCCGCTTTGGTTAAAAAATTTTTGATGAATTGGCAAAATAATCAGGCCTTTTTGTATTCCTTCTCATTCGAATAAGTGATGGAGTGGGGGGGGGAGGGCGCTTATAAGAGGGGTACTCATTAGACAATTAGGCCTAAGGGAGAGCGCTTATTCGGGGGAGGGCTCTTACTATTCAAGGAAATAGGGGAACCTCTCGTCCCGCTGACATACGGAAATAGAACTGAACTCGTGACTATGACATTGCACACGTAGTCACGCACCAGTGAAGAAACGAGACATGGCGAAAGTCACTGCGTTGAGAGCTTTCGCTAGTTTTCTCTTATTTTTCGCAAGGATTTCTCATGGCAAAGGAGATTATTCCGTAAATGGAACGGTTTATTACACAGATGGGTGAGTTTGCTATTTCATTTCCTTTTTGTAGCGGTCAATGTAATTTGTCGAATAACATTTGCGATTCAAATCTCTAGCTGATCTGAAAAGCGAAAAAGAAAAATTTCATAAATTTCGACGAGATGTTTAAGCCAGAGATTATCTTTTTATGGTCTGAAAATGATTGTAATAAGCTTAAGACTGACTAACTAAGGGCTACGGAACAGAAGGGCCGATTTACCTTCTCGTTTTTCTTGTTAATATGTGTGTTATGTAACACACAGGAAAGGTCGGAAAGCTTTCGATGAAATTTCATTTCATTACTAAACTTCAAACAATTTTAGCGCAAAACTTTTTCTGAAGATAGAAAGTATATATCTGATAAATTCCTCAAACTGATCACAGGAATATATATGTTCAGACGGAAATTGGCGGATGCTCTAATCTGTTTTTATTGGACCAAGCGTGACGTCATATCATCATGGTTCAATATTGATCAAATTAATGCTCCTGGCCTAAATCGTATTTCGCTTTTGTAGGAAAAGACCTAAGGAATCAGTTAAAGAGAAAGAGGGAAAGTTGTAATTGTTTAATATTGGTCAGGAATCTTGAAGCTCCTCTCTTCTTCGTCACAGCAAAACATGCAAATTTTGCAACCATACCGTTTTTTCACAGTTAAAAATAAATTAGACTCAATTCACATAAGCAGAAGCTTGTTTAGGCAAGGTGTGAGTAGAGAACAAAAGGATGGAAATCTAAACCAGTTGTAAGCTTTTTACAATAGGTTATCAAACACTTACAGGAATGAACTAAACAGAATAAAATTATTAAAAGCCTTAAGCATTAACATGGTTGCACAACTTGAAGATTGACTATGGATTATTTAACAACTTCACAGGAAGTACCACATAGAGTTTGGATTACTTGACAAAGAAAATGGTGTAGCCTATGGAACCTATGATGATGCTTTGAACACCACTGGGTAAGTGAAACAATTGTCAGCAAAGGCATACCTTTTGCTGAGAAAGGAGGGGTCCTTGGATGATAGTTCTCCCACCCCTCCCCTTGGTCAAAAAATTACTGATACTTAATTATAACCAAACAACTTTTAATGTCTCAGTGCTGATATATAGGTTAGGATCCTTCCCCTCCCCTCCCTTAAGGTGTTGATGTGTGGAGTTCACCTCAAGTGTAGTGTGAATGAAACTTGGCTGGAAGTTTTTCTGCATTTGACAAATAATACAAAGCATGCTATTTATTGGGTTAGACCGGTAAACTTGTATTATTTTTCTGTGTTTTAATTTCAGGTGGGGTGAACTTAATATTGCATCAGGTTCAACAGGAAGTCACAGTGATCAAACTATCATGTTTGCAGCTGGGTATCTTGAGGGAGCTTTGACTGCTGGGTAAATGTCTTGAAGATGAACTCATATTCTCCATACTGTTCTGTATACATTTCATATGGTACTGACAAGGAGAATCGGTTTAACAATCCATAGCTTCTTCAGTTGGTGAACACTTTCTTTATTCTTGTGACCCCAGTTTTTCATTTAGGGGGGTTATAATATGGGGAGAAATAAGAAGCTAACCACTCTTTGGGGTGAAAGAGTTAACAACATTAGGCCTGGGTTTGATTCCCAGATCTGGGATGTGGGTTGAGTTTGTTGTTAGTTCTCATCCTTTCTTCGAGGGTTTTTCTCCAGGTCCTCTGGTTTTCCTCCCTCCACAAAAAACCAACAGTCTAAATTCCAATTCAATCTAGAAACAGTGGACAAGAAGAGTCACCCAGTGGAATGTTGAGTGTTTTTAGCATGAACCACTAGCTTGGAAGATTGGGCAACGGCTTCCTACTTTAATGACTTTAGATAAATTATTATTATTATTATTGTTATTAACATCTTCATTTTGTTTCCTTATAGGAGGATAAATGAAAATTATGAGAACAATTATGACATCGCCTTCAGAGGAAAACCAGAACAGCTTGTGAAAAAGATTGGAGAATGGTTTGATGCTCAGGTGATTTCAGATAGTATTTTATTTGCTTTGTGGTGTGCTTGTTGCCTTTCTCAATGTGCCTTTTGAAGTTGCGATGTTGAAAAGTAACTTTGTTTGAGCATGGAAGCATCTCCTATCCTTGCCTCTGATAACCATATGTTACTCCTCCACCCTGACCATTATCACTCTTTGACACCCATCATTACTGTGTTCCCTTGCTATAAATAACCAACGAACAAGACATTCAAATGCACACAAATAAGTTCACCTTCAGTTGTTCTTTTCCATCTCTTTTCTTTCCCATCTTTTTTCTTTCCGATCTCTTTTCTTTTCCATCTCTTTTCTTTCCCATGCCCTCTTGGTCACTGTTACATACTAAATTAAATACATGACATCCCTCCTTTTCTTGAAGTGCAACAATTCTTTGACCCAGTCAGGAACAGAACAAACTATTGTTGATTTTTATCCACCATTTTTCTTTAATTTTGTTCTGTGCAAAGATATACTTGTTAACACTTAAATGAAATAATTTGCCAATTTTATTTGTTTTAATGTAGGAAGAATGGATGAGAAACAGAATAAAGAGTGAATCCGAGAACAGCTCACTTTGGAGACAAATGGGAAACATTGTGTCTCAATATGATGGTGAACATACAAGCGCACTTTTATTACTTTGTGAAAGGCTCCCACCTTAATATATTTTTCAAAGTCACCATTTGCCAAGAACAATGGCACAGTTAATTCCCATATGGACTGGTCTAGACTGACAAAAAATCATTTTTCCACTGTTTGGCTCTTCTCCAGTTTTTCTGGGAATGGGATAGAAAAAAAAAATTACAGACCTTAGTCCAATCATAAAGCAAAGAGCTTAAACTGGTTACAAGGGTCAAAGTTAGCCAAACAGATTCAAGCATTTTTGCCCTCTGAGATTTGTTTATAAGTAACATTTGTGAGTTATTAGTTATCTGTTCAATCTGTTGATAAAAGCTTGGTCATTATGTTAAGTTTGCTTTGAGTAAATCCTTTGTAGGTGGGTGACCCTAAAAGCCAGAATGGCAGAAAAAGATCCCACATCCTAAAACATGGAACAGCGGAAAATGACCCCAAATCCTAAAACACGGAATGGTGGAAAATGACCCCAAATCCTAAACCACAGAACCGCAGAAATTACCCCAAATCCAAAAACACTGAACAGTGGAAAATGCGACACATTATTTGTTTGATAAATTGCAGATTGGCTTTCTCCAAAATCAACAAGCTTGCAAAGAATCGGCCTAGTTTGAAAAGCTTTCTCAATTTCGTGGCTGTCTTTTAAAGTGCAATAATGCTAGTTGGAGACCAGGATATTGGCAGGCTTTATATCATGGTGGATGATCCCAAGGTCATGCAAATGTGCAAGGGCTGTCGCTGTTTTGAGGGTGATCTTTTCTTGAAGTGGAAATTGGTTGATTGCCTTATTCATATGAATATATTGTAAAAGTCAGTCCAGACTGCTAACAATTTCTGAGCCGCCAAAGGAAGCAAAGTCGAAAAACAAATATTCAAGCATCATTGCACATGATTCCATGCACACAGCTTTAAACCAAATTGGTGAAATAGCTTCTATTTTTGTCCAGATAGTTTATTTCTTCTGCTGATATGGATGGTGGTGTTTTGGACATGACATGAAAAATTCCCATGTGCTTGACCCCCTGCAAACCCTTTTTTTTTTTTTTTTGCTCATCAATGTTTCGTGTTTAAATAAAGTTATACTTATACTTTACTTACACTCAAGGCCCAAAACTTATTCATGGACGAAGAAACACGTATTGAAGGGCTCGTAATGAGGGCTTGCTCTCATGCTAGTCTAAGTTTGGAGCTGGGGCTAAATGTCATTAGATTTTGAGAAGCCTGAAAATGTTCCTGTGGTGTTCCACATTTTCAAGCATTTAAGATATTTTTGTTTCATTAAATCATTGCAGACATGACCAGGAAACATATCAAAGTTACAATTGTTTATTGTAATGTGGTATGTCAAATTAGTTTTCACATGCCATGTGACTTTTTATGCTGCGGCTAAAACTCATGGAAAATTTAGCATAACAAAAGGTAACTAAACAGGTTTACCACACAAAAATGTTCTGTGTTTTAGGATTTGGGGTCCTTTTCTGCCAATGTGTGTTTTAGGATTTGGGGTCATTTTCTGACGTTCCGTGTTTTAGGATTTGGGATCATTTTCTGCTGTTCCACCATTCCGGCTTTTAGGGTCTCCCTTTGTAGGTTGCATGTAGTGGTTGACAGATTTCCAACATCTGCTTTAACTCAGGCTCTCTAGATATTTATAAGAATTACTGACCATTTTAAGGCTTTCTGTCTTGCTTTGGTTTTCTTCAATATATAGGGCTTATTGCTGGTTATACAGAGAACCCACCCCGCAAGAAGGTAAATTCTAATTGCTGCAAACCCTGAGTGTAGGAAATTATGTTGTCCAAGATGATTGGTTGTCAATGTTTCTTTTCTCATTTTTTTAGAAAAATCTAGGCAAGTTTGCTTTCCAACTTTTAAATGGTATTGGTGATTACATCACTCTCTCTGGTGTGTTAAGTCCTGATGGGCCACCTGACTGGAGTAGTATGACGGAAGAGCAGATTTCAGTCAAGGTAATTTAGGTGTTAAGTTAACTTGGTAAGGTGCATAGTGCTTTTGACCTTGATTGCTGGTGTTCATAACACAATTTGACTCATATAGACTCTATTGCTGGATGTAAGGAACTGAAAACCTGTGATGACTTGCGTATTTTTAAATTGCATTTATTTAAATACTTAAAAAAAAAAAACGGGGGAAGGCACATCTTTAGTAATTTTAAATTAGTTTAAGTTTTAATTGTATACAGACTGGAATGTTTTGCCATTTTAAATTTATGATCGTAAATATTAAATAGGTTTTAGTTGATCCTATAATGTATTTATAGTTAGTGACAGATGAAGAACCACTCTGTGGAAACACTGTTAATAAACCCTTTACTTACTTACTTACTTACTTACTTACTTACTTACTTACTTACTTATACTTACTTACTTAATGTAAGAGTATTACATGATAACCTGAATTGTTTCACCCTTCCACTCCCAATAACTGATTAGAAATTCTCCTTACTGTCTAACATACAATTGTTATAATGATGGTTAGGAGAATTTGGTATTGGATCAACTAATAATTCCCTAGTTGATATTTTTCTTTATTCTCATAACTTGTCTGCTTGATATTGTATAGGAGATATTCTGTCATAAGTTGGTTACTCATGGGAGTTACAGGGTTAAATGCATTTTGATTGGTTCTTACTTAAAATCTATTGCACAGATGCTTAAATAATGTCACCACTAACGGTAGTTTGCTTTTTTATCATATAAGACTAATAGATTCTATGCTGTAGTCATCAGAGTCTGTAGGGTTATAAATCACAGAAGATGTTAAAAATGTGGTGAGAACATTATATAATATGTACTGGTCCACTCAACTGCCATTTGTGTGCTCCATTTTTATTCTGACCACATTTTGACATTATTTCTGATCTTCTGTTACTGAACAGACACACAGCCACATGGAATTTATTTGTTAAATGGTCAAATGCTGCAGCACTATGAGACACAATTGTAGCCTCTTGGCTTATCATGTTAGACCTGGGACTGAGAACAGTGTTAGGTTCTACAGCATGCGGTGTCATTGTGTTTCGCATTTAACCATCAGATGCTGCTGTAAACTACATGTACCATGATTGAATCTATAGATAGCTGACTATAAAGAATCTCTGATGTACGTGGCAAATGTCTGCATCGATCTATATTATTGAAGCAATAAACAGTGAATTTTATTTATTTATTGCCTTATGTCATGGCCAATACTGGGCCTCAGGGGAATCAGTAACATAACTTTGAGCTTTGTTTTTTGTACTAGAAAGGACTTATTATAATTTTAAAAGGTTCAGCCATTGTTTAACAAAACCATGCTCTAGGCTATCTTTAAGTATCTTTAGCAGAACGTTTATTTTTGTCCACAGTGTTGAGATGGCTGAAAGCCAATAGTGGAACAACAGTTATCCATTTAAATCAACCCCCTCAGAGAGAATCCCTGAGGCTTACTTCTTGCATAAAACCTAGGGGTTGGGTTAGACCTCATGTAAATATAACCTGTCATAAATGTTTAAGATGATCACCTAAATTTCATGGTATTTTTTGTGGCTAGCAAAATTAAAAAAGACTCAAAGGGTTGGTCCATTTTAGGGTTGTCCATTTCGATAGTCCATGGGGGTGGTCCTTGGACTGGGGTTAGGATCTTGTCCATCACCCCCAGAGTTCATGGGTTCAACTCCTGTACAGTTTTTTTCATGCCCTATTTTCACTACTGTTTAAGTAGTTTTGATCATTACTGCCAAGATCACTCTCAGATCACTCTCTCTTAAAATCCCCTGATGAGTGGGCAACCATGAAACAGGTCTGTAGGGATGTATATGTAGTTGTTTTTTTCTGCCTACCACACATCATACCCGCTCTACTATTTGTATTGAGCACTGTTTCACGGACACCAAGTTTAATCCCCCTATATGATATTTAATATATATTCACCAACATTTGTTTTACTTTAGTTAGGAAGAATGGGCCATTGTTCTGCACTCATAAAGGTTCTTCCAGGTTATGAAGATATCTTTGCAGGACATTCAAGGTGAATTATTTCTTTCTTCTTCTTACTTTTTAATTCTTAAATAAAAATTATTTTCTGACTTATGTTTTGCAAGTTTACCAATCATCTTATGTACTAGCTTCTATATATTTGATATACACTGCTGCTTCCTAGTTGCTGTTTAACTCTTTTATTTGGTTTGTAGCTGGTTTGCATAAGGTGCCACAATGAGGATCTACAAGCATTACTTTTTCAATCTGAAGGATCCCAGCACAGGTAAGTTCTAAAGCTTTTAATTTTTTTTATCATAATTATTATTTTTATACCTTAAGCACTTCATAATAAAAATGTTAATCCTTGCAACACTAACATTACTTTATAATTTGGATATATCAACAAAGTTGAAATGGTAAATTGGCCACCGTAATGATTACAAAAGCTGACATTTCGAGCGTTAGCCCTTCGTCGGAGTGAATGACAAAGGGCTAACGCTCGAAACGTCAGCTTTTGTAATCATTATGGTGGCCAATTTACCATTTGAACTTTGTTGATATATCCAAATTATTTCGTTACTCCCACTGACGCAGCCCCAAACAGTTTCTTTCGAAACTATCAGCCTTTAACATTACTTTACATTTACTAATTTACAATACTGAAAAAGTACTTATATTGATCACAAGAGTGACATTACGTTGAGCAAAATGATTTATTAACAGTGCATGATCAACACTTTAAAAACAAAACATTACTTCTCAGGCACTATTGAATTTATACCAATAGGTCATGCATTGTTTATATGTGTATGTGAGTGCAAGGAGAAATAAACAGAGAGAGAGAATAAACAACAACAACAACTGACAACAAAAATTAGATAAATAAGTAAAGTAAAAATAAATCAATCAATCAGCTTGTAAACTTTGAAGTCATCGGACTGGTTACGTCTTCTTTTTCTCTTGATGGCTCTAAAGCCTGGTTTTTACCAGTGACACAGTACAAGCACAAGCCCAAACACAAACATAAACACATGCACAAACAGCTTATATTTCACTCTGGAAAAGGCAATCACAAGGGCAAAGACAATTAGGAACAGAATTTTTCCTGCTTTCTTGAGCTAGTTCTTGTGCTTTTTGACGTTTGTTTTCACTTGGCTTATTTACCTTTTGAATGTGATAAAAAAATTTCAGGTGCAAAACGGATGTCTTTTTCCAGCTATCCTGGCTACCTTGTATCACTGGATGATTTTTACATCATGGACAGGTTAGTTTGATTTTAATTAAAGTTGAATCTTATGATAACAGAAGGGTACTCCTCTGACAAGAAAGAGGCTGATGATACCCAAACAGGATACTCACTGAACCAGCTGCAACTATTTTCTCATGTTTGATTCCATGACAACTTGAAACAGCTTTTATTTTAATTTTTTCTTTTTTTTTTTATGAAAATTTTTATTAATATTTCACCAATATCTATACTTGATACAGCTTCTACATCTTCATTTATGGACCTTAATTGTCTCTTGGTAGAGAAACATCTTATGTACCTATTCTATATGAAGCAAGAAAGTGAGAAATCATTGAAAGCCAACCCCAATTGGTGGTAGATACATCATGTTTACTATGCTGCAATATAGGCCTTGTTTCCACGTAACACTCTTCACAACACTTGGAGACAGAGTGGCGGCCAAGGGGTCATGGGGCTGGGCTTGTAATGTTGTGGTCCTGAGTTCAAGCCCTCCATCTTGCTTCTTTACTGGATTTGTCCCAGGTGGTTTCCCCAAGTTCAACTCCTCTGCTGTACTTTCTACATTACCCAACTTGTCTGCTTTGTGCCAGTTGGGATTTTTAAACATTCTTTCATTTTATGATTCAATAATTTGTATTGGCCCTGAAAACCCCCACTGGGGGAGTAGTCAATTAAGTATAAACAGTTTAAACAGTTTACAGACTTAAATTTATTTCTGTGAAGGGGAAATTCTGTTGCTTGTCAGGTAGCACCACTGCTAGATTCAGCTAGTGTCTATTTTTCTATTGTCTTTTCAGTGGCTTAGTTATGGTCCAGACGACAAATAATGTTTTCAACACTTCACTGTATAAGTATGTCTCGACGGAATCCCTTCTAGCTTGGCATAGAGTGCGACTTGCTAACTCAATGGCTCAGAACGGGGCAGAATGGGCAGAGGTTTATAAACAGTACAACTCAGGTATTTGAGTAGTGATACTCTCTTCTGCATTTTGCTTTTGATGTTAACACCTCACATGTTCAAATAAATTTGTGTTCAAACATGTTCAAACATGTTCAAATAACTTCGCTCTGACAAAGGGCTAACGCTCAAAACGTCAGCTTTTGTAATAGTTACCGTGGGCAATTTACCATTTCAACTTTGTTGATATATCCAGAAAATTGATGAGAATGGAAATAATTTTTTTTGATGAAAATGGAAATAATTTTTTTTGATGAGAATGGAAATTATTTTTTTTGATCCAGTACTGAATTCTCTGGAGTAACACCAAGAGAACATTATTATAGACACAAAGAAGAATTTCTAAAGGTTTGACCATATTTTTACTCTTTGAACCTGTGAGGTTATTTATAAATATATAACCACAATCATTATGGTAACAGCACATCTCTTGAGTAAATGGAATGTGAAAGGTGGCAATTAAAGTTTGAGCTTGGTAATTATAATGAAATAAAGAAACATGTCTTTTTGTCTTGTCACCGGTGTGGGACAAAAAATAAATAAATCAAAGTCCCCAGGAGGAATGAAATCTCAGACCTTAGTGGATTCTGCATTCCAGTGATCTACCACTGAGCCTTAGAGAGCTCTACTATAAGTGAGCTATGTCATTAACCCTGTAATTCCCAAGATCTGTTTGTTAATTAATTCTCCCCTCTGGGTGCTACACATTTCCTGGCGTGTAAATCAGTGACAAGAATTTGGTGATAAGGATTACAACTTTTGCTGGATAAATTTGACATCTAAGTGACATGTTGATCTCTTCTGGGAGTTACAAGGTTCTAATACAATTTCTACACTTGAGCTGAGTGGCCTACTCAGCTAGAGCTTATCTTGGTTTCCTCGGCATGAAGCTAAATATCTGCCCTAGATGTGAAGATGACAAATTAATCTACTTTCAATTGATAACTCCTGAGAATGTTGTGTTTTTTAACTGCCATGTGCTTGGGTGCATAATGATCAAAAGGAACTGGTATGTGCCACGGGTGACACCCCTTTCTGAGTTGGATGGACCCTCCTAAACAGTTGTCCTTTTTTATATACTTTCAATTGATAACTCCTGAGAACGTTGTGTTTTATAACTGCCATGTCCTTGGGTGGATAATGATCAGAAGGAACTGGTATGTGCCAGCGGTGACTCCCCTTTTATGAGTTGGATGGACCCTCCTAAACAGTTGTCATTTTTTATGTCCCAGGTACTTACAACAATCAGTACATGATCCTAGATCTGAAACGAGTTGAGCTAAAGAAAAATTTGCTTAGTGGAGCTCTCTGGGTTGTGGAACAGATTCCAGGGTATGTAGCGAGTATCACATTCACAAAACTGCTACAAGCAACACTGCCATCAATTGACTGGCTCCTCAAGGTAGTACATTGTGTTCAGTTATGCATCGGATGTGGGTTTCTAAGACAGTTTTTTTGGGTAATACGGTGGACCGTCTTTCATAAATTGTTTGAATTGTAGTCGACCTTGTATTTAACAGCGTTGTATTAAGGAGTCGCACCCAGTATTAAGCGGCCGATTGTCAAAGTTCCGATCTTGTTTCCCATTTTTCGCTGTAATTTTTACCTCTACTAAGCGGTCGCGGCGGTCACTCTTAATTGTGCCCCAACGGCCTGTTTTCAATGTCTTTTACCTGTATTGAACAGTCAGATAAAACTAAGAAAAATGTTTCAACTAATTTTTAATCCATGTTTCAAGTTCCCAAAGTCAAAATATATTGTATTCTTGACCGAGATTCTGAAATATTAAATGGTCAATTATGGTGTAAAGAGGCAAATTTTTTTTTCAGTGTTAAACATAACGATCTCTTTGTCAGGTTGGTGGCCAGCGGAGATCAAACTGAGATCCTTAGAGCAGGTTATTGGCCATCTTACAATGTGCCGTTTTATGAAGAGGTGAGTGTAAACATCCGACAGAAAGGAGTCCTCATAAACTGATTTAAACTGACCAAATTATGAGCAGTTGAGAAAATCCGTTGTATGTTAAGGTAGTGGTTGCTAGAGTGTTTACAAGCTTACTATTTACCCCTATCTTCCTCCCCCCTCCCCCACAAGTCCATGTGGTTCTCTCAAGCATCCTTGCTAGGGTGGAGTGGAGTGGGGCACCTTTAATTTTTCATACTTATGTTGACCAAAATATACTCAAGGTGCGGGACTCCATGCCACGTTGTTTTTACACCCAAACATCGACACATCACATCTGGTGTATGCAGAAGATACCTTTCTTCTGACATCTTCAGTGCACATGGACTGATTGCCTTTGACTATTAAGTTTTCAGCATAACTTAACTTAATTAACTTCACGGATGATTTGTTTTTAATCAGGTGCTTTGTTTTCTCATTAGATATACAATCTGAGTGGTTACCCTGAATTTGTGAAGAAACACGGCCCTTCTCGTTCATACCAGCTGTCTCCAAGGGCTGAGATATTCCGTCGTGATCAAGGAAAGGTAACTTACTACATAAGGACCTTCGCTCTTTTCATAAATGTAACATCGCGGGTTTAATTTATGATGGGGAATTCTGATTTACAGTGCTGCTTGACCATTTTGTAACAGCTACATTTTCTTTAACAGGTCAAGAATTTGACATCGATGAAACACATCCTACGTTACAATGGTATGATTGTGGTTAAATGAGTGATACGTTATAGCTTTCGTGCTCAAGAGCTTGCCTCTTTCACGGCTAAGGGGGATGCAACCTCGTTCCCAGGGCCTTTTCCCTTAGTTGGGCGTGGAGTTGGCGGTGGGGCGGGCCCTGGGGTGGATGAAGCTGATTTGGTGTGATGATTTGAAGTGTTTTAAAGCTGACCTTTTGAGAAGCTCTGACAAAGGGCTAACGCTCGAAACATAAACTCTTAGAAACTCTTTACGGTGGCCAATTTACATTATCAACTCAGTCAATGAAATCAAATCGTCTTGTAGTACCTCTCACCGACGCAGCACCACAGTTTCTTTCAATAGGTGGTTTGCAACCAATCTCTAGAGACACAGGTAACAATAGTGCAAGGAACAAATGCTGGTGGACGAACAAAAGGAGCCAATGAGATATCTATTGTTTGCGTCCACCAACATGGCGGCAATGACGTAACGTGCAAACCACCTATAGAGGGCTTTCAGTTAACGGCGAATTATGCGATTATCTCAGTCGGTATATTGTGAGATTTAACGCCACTAACGCAGTCTATATTGTACGATTTAACGCCGTTAGTTAACGGCATAAAATCCAACGCTAAACATGATACCGACTAGATGAAATTGCGTTAGTAAACGGTGTAAAATATAATAACACAAGAAATTACGCCGTTAGTTAACCGGCGTAAAATATAATAACACAAATACTGAGTGAAAGAAATAACGCCGTTAGTTAACGGCATAAAGTCTTACAATAAAAATAATACCGACTAAAAGAAATTACGCCGTTAGTTAACTGCGTAAAATCTTACAAGGGTTTACCAATGTGTAATGTCTTTTTTTCCCTCGTGATACAAATCTCTTCCAATTGTTCTTTTCAGACTATCCTACAGATCCCTACTCAGACAACAATCCTTACAACTCTATTTGCTCCAGAGGCGATCTGCTGATTCCATCAGACAGAAGCCCAGATGGTTGCTATGATACCAAGGTAAAGCTCTGCCATGAAGAAAGTTGATATATAATGATTAACAATTATTGGATGAGGTTGAGCATGATAGCGATAATTATCAAGGCCAAAGTCTGTGTTATCTGCCGAAGCCTAAGGCTGAGGCGGATAACACAAACTGAAGCCGCAATAATTATCGCTATCAAGCGAAAACCGAATCCAATAATTGTTTTATTTTGCATATTCCTGAGCTGCACTTGTAAAGAAAAGAGCGCATAAAACTATTGTCTGTAGGTATGACGTCACTTCTAGATCTAGATCTATAAATTCTGTATGATGCACGATCCTCGCAGTAGATAGCGCTATTTGAGCAATAGCGAAAATCAGACCTGAAAAAAAATCAGGCCTGTACGGGACTCGAACCACTGACCTCTGCGATACTAGTGCAGCGCTCTTACCAATTGAGCTAACAAGCCAACTGAGAGTCTCATCTATAAATTCTGTTATCATTGGATGGATTTTTTTCCTCCATTTTCATTGGCTGGGAGCCCACTACGTGACTTGCAACTAACTGCCTACAAATAATGGTCTGCTCATGCGTACTACCGTCTAACTCCGTTTTTGCTGCAAATAATATTCTGCTCATTCGCAGTAGTAACTACGCTCTTGTGGTCGCTCTTGTGTGTAAACATCAGAATCGTTGAACAGCAAGAAGACCGTAACAACCATTACGGCAACCTCTTCGATTCCTGTAGCTGAGAGTGCACCGCAACCACTTCTCACGGCCTCTCAGGAAGAGCATATTCTAAATGAGCTAAGTATCGAGCAATCTAACACGCAGCAGACAGTTAATAATTTTTACAACTGCACTTTCAACTTTTAAAGTGAACTTTCAGAGATTTCGTTAAAGCTGATTCATCAATAAATACATTTTCCCTTTTTTTTCGGATTTCAAATCCTTGAAGACTGTGAACTTGTTCCTGGAAGTTTCAGCCATTTGAAGGCATACATTTTGTTAATTAACAGTTGACTGTGCGTATAATTTAAAGTCAACAAAATAAATTATTTAACTGAGAAGGAAACCATTCGATTTCTGGCAGCAATGCGCGCTTGCTGCTTCCCCCAAAAATTGAAAACAAACACGCTTGCCGCTTCCCCCAAAAAATTGAAAACAAACTCGGGGATCGAAGGATAAAACAATTATTGAACACAGTTATCGCAAAATATCGTGATTTGTCAGTGTCTCGCAGATCAATTATTTGCCTCAGCCTTCGGCTTCGGCAAATAATTGATCTGCTCCCCACGGACAAATCACGATATCTTGCTCAACCTCGTCCAATAATTGTTAATGGTCTGTGGGTATGGCATGAGATAATGTTTAATAATTCTTTTAATGGGTGGGGGCGCGTTTTAATTGAAAGTATGTATTCTAAACTAAAACTGAAGTCATCACTATGGACAATCTGAGCCAAGGCTAACATCAAAAGGAACTCACGAAAAACTCAGAATAAAATTGAAAAAAAACTGACTTAGCCCTTCACTACCATCAGTGACCAAGACAGAATTTCTCCTTACAATATCAATACAATATCAAGCAGATAAGTGATGGGAATATAGAAGAATATCAATTACGGAATTATTAGTTGATCCAATACCAAATTCTTCAAACTAACACTGTAACAATTTTGTGGTAGACAGTAAGGAGAATTGCTATTGAGATCTTGGGAGTGAAAGAGACGCGCAAGAAAACGCGAAGGACCAAGTAACGATTGCCGGTTTAATAGTAATAGTCATAGTAATCAAAGTTAATTATCTTTACGTGGGGCATGGTTACCCGAGCCAGAGGCTCATGTATGAAACGCAAGACAACAACCCACCCATCCCACCCTAGGGGAGGACATCCATCACACAGTAATCTCGTGCGTGGGAAATTAACGTCTCCTACCCCTAACCCTGCAGGAGACGGGACCTCCATTTATTCGTCCCTATCCGAGAAGACTAGAATATCTAAACCATTTCTTGATGTTATAGACAGGCAGCATATTCTTCTCAATTATTTTAAGACCTTGAGTGTTGGTCCGGAACCCTTGATCTCCCGCACAACAGTCCAGCGCTCTATCCATTGAGCTAACCGGGAGGCGGTTTGTACTTTTGATCCGATTGATAAAAAGGCAAACGCGAATTTTTTGCCTTTATCAAATGTGAATTGAAGTGAAGCAATCCTTAACATCCAAGGCTACCTTCGAAATTCGAACTTTTTTGTTCATAGGGCTTTACTTCGTTTCACTCTTAAAACTCGGAGTTATTCCACTTCTGTTCAGTAAGTAAGTAAGTAAGTCAACTTTATTTAATGAGGGTGTACACATAACAGCTTACGCTGACAAACCAGTGGTCCTCAAGATTTCTTTTTGAAATGGCGCACAAAATCGTACTCTGTATTTGTCTTCAGGTGACAGACTTTGGGATGGCGAAGTCGTTAATGTCGGAAGCCATCAATGGTCCAACTTATCAGGTAATTTTTAAGCTCTCAATAGACTGGCTTCTATGTTACCCTCAGAAACAGCCTCCCTGTGGTAGTTCGGTGTGTGCAGTTCAAAGAGTAGCAGTAGTATTCCCGTGGTTCCAATAGCTCGTGACCAATCAGCGAAAGACGCATTACCTGACACGCGATCACTCAAAGCCATTTAAATATGGCAAAAAACGCAAACGAAGGCGCTTGTAAGTCGTGCTAAAGTTCAGGCACGTGCCTGGGGTACTATTTCTTCGCGGAGACTCCATACTCTACGCGCATTCGATCTGTTTTCTTAGCTTGCTTTTGTACCCTTCGCCGAAGCACTTACAAAAATGAAGGGTGTTGCACTTTTTTTTCTTTTCAGGGCTTACCTGTATTTTGTTGGAGTCACTTCTCTTTTCCAAACAAGCATGTTGGTTTGGTGAGTACTGCAACATTACACTTCTTTTGGCAAGAAACCCCTCACACCAGTACTTCTTATTTTCTTCAGAGAAAGTGACTTAAGAAACTTTTTAGCAATAGTTAACTGTAATAATGAGTGTCCAATAATGTGTCGTTATTGGAATATTTTATGTTATGTATGTGGGCAACTCACAATTATTGCTCCATTTGATAAGTTAAACACCCGAGTCGCTATGTGCGAACGAAGATATCAGAAATAGCAATGATATCAGAATTAGCGAGTATGAAGTCCTATAGTGCAAGAACTGGTTGCCTGAGGTTTTGGTGCTGGACTCGGGATCCAAAGGTCTGGGTTCTAGAGGTGTGTTCTTGGGCAAGACACTTAATTGTCACTGTCCGTCTGTATACCCTCGAGTTTGAACGGGATTCAGAAAGCTGCCGAGAAAAAAACTGTCGGAAAAAGTTGAAAAATTGCCTAGTCTGACCTGCAGTGGCTTAGCATCCCAGCCAGGAGAGGAAACAATACTTCTTTAATAGGGATCACATACCTTCCCGTCATTCCGTTTGCTGCTTGCTATCGTAACTGGTCCCCATGTCTCTCGTTTTCAGATGGAAGTGATAGACGAGTGGGTATGGGTCAGACTTAGTACAACTAATGCCCTCTCATATAAATATCAAGAATGAATGCCACGTGACTCTTTTCTTCCTTTTGTTGTTTTCTTTTTCAGCCTGACTGCTATGACTTTGATTTTGTGACGATGAAGCCGAAATTTTAACAGTCAGTAGTTCCTGTGATCGCTTTGTATCCAATGCTGCTTAGTAATCTTTCTAAATTTCAGTCAATTTCTAAACTTAAGTTCATTTCTAAATTTCGTCCACTCTTTTAATGGAATTTTAGTCTGTTCCAGGCGTTTACTAGAGTAAGTAAAACGGAGCGAAAGAAACGAAGTGAAGAAAGGAAGCAGGCCTGGGATGGGTTGCGTCACGAACTTACGCAACCAGACCCAACCCTCCTCGTTTTTTCCCTTAACCGTTACCATTCTCTCATTAATTATCGTGCTTCGTTTAACTAACTGTACTGCGCCTGAAACAAGCTTGTGGAATTATGAGGAGGAGTGCAGGCGTCTTCTTCGTCAGACTTCTTCGTCGACAACATGATCTGTTTAATACAAACGAGAAGTCTCTTTCATAACATGGAAAAAAAATTCTAAGACTTGCTGTGTTTTCGTCAATTTGGAGCGTAAGGATTTTCCTAGTGCACGCTAAAAACTGTCAAAACTATCTTAGAAGAAAAATCTTTTTCAATTGGTTTTAGCGAAATACTTCTCAGTAAAACTTGAGATTTGTTATCAGCAAAAAACTTGTTGATTGTTTTAACAATTCTATCATGTTTTAGTCAATTTTTTTGTACAAATCGCACAAATCTTTTCGAAAAATAATTTTCTTTGTTACCCAGAGTTTAGATATTGTAGTTATGGTGAAATAATTTCACGAATAAATCAATAGAATCGTCTTCTAGAATGATGTGTGCCAAAATGAAATGAAAAAATGATCAATATTTGGCCTAGATAATGTCATTTATTTGTAGAAATTTACAGATCATATGTACAAGTAAAACGTTGGAAAATCTTCTCATGTCCAAGAGAGGTTACTATGTGGTACGATATACTGGATATGTCCTGCGCGTGACAATTGAACTCATACTCAGAGCCTTAAACTGGAGCTAGAACCAATCCCAAGCTAAGAAATGAGGAATAACTTCTCAAGAGGGCTCGTCCTTTTCGGTGTATGAAGTATTCAGAGGGAAGAAAATGACAGCTTCAGTGTAATTCAACCTGAATTAACCTGATATAACCTGAAGATGCGTTCTGGAGCTCACTTGTCTTCAAGGCTTAAAAGAGGGACATTGACCTGGTTTGAATATTTGATACCTGCCTATAGGGAATAGATCGCTTCCTTTCTAATGTTTCTGCATCGTAACACGCACGGCTTGCACGCGCCCATGCAATTTTCTACCGGCAACCCAAGAGTCGATTAGGAATTTGAATTATAGTCAATACAGGGTGACCTCTTACATTTTCTCCCAGTTTCTGACATACTTTGGCCTCTTCGCCATTGATAACCTCACCTCCGGTTGCCTTAACATGGTAGAACGCCATAGAAGAGAAGTATCCAATTGAAGAGGAGGAAGGGATAGTGAGAAAACAAAATCAAGGAGTTGAGTCATTGTAAGGTCCCAACACATAGTAAGCATAAATAGGTTCATCATACGTACGCGTGTGTGCTATTCTCATATTTTTAAAATACTTAAAGTGTCTTGATAAATCAGGCGAAAAATATCTAATCTAGCCTTGGAACGCGAGTATCAGCTTGATTTATTCAAGTCGTTTTTGGTGAGACAGAAGTGTTGAGGCACTATCAGAAGTATAACCACCATAAACTTGTATCCATAGAAAGTCATAAGAAGGCTTAGCTCGTTGTGGTCGTTTCTCTGGTTGCTTGAACTCTTTCTCAAACTTGATGTCAATTGATATTTCCAGTGATGATTACGAAGTTCTTAGACATTTCATTCAGTCACACGCGAGTTAGGAGATAGCATCAAGCAGTTTGCTCATTCCATTTTATGTGGTTATACCGAATGCCTCTTTCATAATATAGAATTGATGTGATGAAGTGGATGAATTAAGCCAGGCTACAATATGAACTGGTTTCTTCGTTCACTGGAACGTACGGTGCAAACAGAAAAGCAGGAATTTGTTGATAATCGGTGACCAGGTCCACAAACAAAAAGGCACGAATTATGACCTCTTTGTTTATGATCATGTTATGTTGTGCACTTACTCACGCAACTTTCCTTGATGTTCTGTAAATGAAGTTCATCTTATTTCGACTCGTTTTTAGTGTCGAATAGATCAGACTAGCAGGAAACTCAGAAAAAAAGAAAGAAAATCAGCGTTGGAGTCGGACATACAACTGAGGAAGTGCGTAAGCGATCTCCCACCATTACTTAAGGGACTTTTCAGAGCGGAATTTCATGATTTAGAAAGGATGAAGAGATCCGCAATCTTGAATGTTCGATTTTGGCTTATCAGCTAGATGATAGGCACCAAGTTCTTAGCGAGTGAAGCTAATCCCTGAGAAAAACAGAAGTTTCCGTTACACTCGGTAGCCCACTGTAATGCAACTTTTTCATCAACAATAACGACAAGGGGAAAAAAATTTTTTTTTAGTTGGGGGAGGGCTCCTACCGTAGCATACAGTAGGGTAGTAGAGTTCTACTACCACAATTTAAGGGACATGTGACAAACTATCGCTTTTCCTTGAGAACTCGGAGCGGTGGCCGGGCCTAAGAACCCAAGGATCCCTTCTCCCAAGGGTTCGCGGTTACCGACGCGCAGGTAGACCTTCCCCCCAGTCTACGGAGGCGTAAACCAACGAGGACCCATGGGGTTTTGGTGACGTCAGCTCAGCCTCTCTCCCCCAAGGGTTCGCAGTTACCAACGCACGGGTGGCCATTTCCCCCAATCTACGGAGGCGCAAACCAACGTGGACCCATGGGGTTATGGTAATGTCAGGCTCAGCTCCTCTCCCCCTAGGGTTCGTAGTTACCAACGCACGGGTGGCCCTTTCCCCCAATCTACGGAGGCGCAAACCAATGTGCACCCATGGGGTTATGGTAGTGTCAGGCTCAGCCCTCCCCCCACCTGCGAATACACGAGATTTGGATATCAATGTCACGAGAGCCACTTCAACAGATTTGTTCAAGATTATCGAGTCAAGTCCGAGAAATTGGGAAAAAAACGGTGACTAAAACGCTTCTTCTTTTACATGTAAAAAGAGCGAGGGTCGATGTAGAAGCTACGAAAGCTGTTGTAACTTGGTTTTTGATAAAACTCAGTGCTTGATATTTATCTACATAGAATCACCAACTCTTAGTCAGATGGGTAGTAAAAAAAGTGTGAGCTCTTTATCCTCAGATTAAGACAATTTGAGATCTAAAGTCGCTCTAGGACAGTATTACCAGGTGGAAAAAGTTTCCTCGGGACACTGTTTTAAGAATAAACATTCAGTTTATACTTGAGGTCTCCTCGAAAATACGGGAAGCTGCGTGGGTTGATCATTGACCAAACTAATTGGATTACGACCAATCAGATGTGATCAGAGAGTTTGGTATAAACATCTCTCACCGAAACTAGAAATACTATATTATTCTTGTTACAGAAGAAGAACGAAACGAAACAAATTTTCAAACATATACAAAGGACAATATGTGGCTAAAAGGAGCAATTTTGGTCATTCTTTTTCAATATTCGTGCAGAAGACCCTACTTGAAAGGTAAGCAAAAATATATATATTTTAAATTTCTCATTCATTTTTCTGTCATTTTATCCTCAACTAGTGTGATCCTTTGCCATGAAGTGTCTTTTGGTTCGATAAACACTAACTGTACTGAGATAAAAATAACATTTTATTTGAAGTTAATCTCTTGGGCAGAGAACGACACTATCAAATTGAGCTCGGCGGGGATTGCATTGAAACACTTCATCATGTAAAATAAAAGAACGAAACATCTCTGGAATCGCAACACGACGGGGGCTAACAAACATTTATTTACTAAGGAGTGGCGGAAATGAAAGACATCGCGTCCATAATAGATTTTCATTCCGTCTTACGCAGTACGAACAGCCGGCGTTTTTCTTTTCTTCTGAAAAGTTCATTTTCTTTTACAAGGATAAGTGGGACGCTCAAACAATAAAGGGACGAATGAATAGGAAATTAATGAAGGGTAACCATTTGTACCTCTCTTGCAAAGTAATCGAAAAATAGAGTATGTAAAATACTTACCTTATTAATTTGGCGTTCAGTATGTCGTTTTTTTATAATAACAATGATTAATAGTATGAATATTTCACAGTAACTTCGATTCTTATGACATGCATGGCTGATTTTCAAGAGTGAACTTCCTGCAGATTGGTAAATCATGATATATTCTCTCTAAAGAAGTTAAAAGGAGCTGGATAATTGTAAACATATTCTATGTCATCCTGGACTGCCATGCTCTCGGCTAAACATTTTCGTTCGCCTCTCTCCATTTGCTTTGCTATGTTAGGTGTGGGAAACATAGGGTTCATCCCAAACGTAAATCTACAAAAGGGGTTTCCTTGCTGGTTTGCTTCGTTAAAAATGATACCCACAGATTATTCTGAAGACTTTGAAGAAACTCATCCTCTCGTGTGAAGCATACATCATATTTTTCACGTGGAAAGCGAAATCTTTTGTTAAGCGTTTTTGTACGTAAGTTCCATAAAAACAGACAGCAGTGATGCCAGTAGCGTTACTCAAGAATTTGTCGTATTGATCACTCTGATTCTTTGCACCTCGTTTAGCACCTTACAGCTACCTTGAAACAAATTCGTGAGTGATTTTGTTATATTAAGAGAATTCAGAACCATTGCTTCCCAAATGCCTCAGTCAAATCGGGAAACACGTTCTATTTATGTCCATACAGTTATTAAAGAGGCCTTTTGTCGCTGTCTGTAATCGAAATTTGACTTGTCCTGTGGTGTTTTACGATTGATAGCGACTGTCTAGGGGGTGAAACAAAGTGATAAGATTCAATAACCAGACAGATGTCGGAATAATGAAAAATTTATTGCCAGTTTTTTTGGAACTTAGTTTTTCATTCGATAGCTGACCAGCTTTAAAGCGGGTGTTTGTAGGTTTGCAAGCGTCTCCAAGGTGTCAAATACTACTAATAGATGACATTTTCAAGGTGTCACGGTGTTGCGTCAAACGTTTGCGATATATAACTTTAGATACAAACACTCTCCAATTTTCCTCTTAGAAATTGACAAACAACAAAAGAATTTGAAAGCCACTTAACAAATCATATGCTATTTTTATTAGTAATTAAGTGTACGTACCTCTATTCAAAGTTAAAATAAAATCTTTTTTTTTCAGATCTTGAGTTGTTTCCAGTGGTGCAGTTATTTATGATTACAGGCAGAATAAACCAAAAAAAAATCAAACAAAATTAATAAGACTTTTATTCTACTTCGTATGACAGCTATAAAACGAAAAGGTCGTTTTAAAGTCCCGCGAGTGTTATGATATCCTGTGGATATCGATCCGAAGCCAGACTGTTTCAGCTTTTCGACGCCATCTAGGACTAACTGACAATTGGCCTCGATCTCGTACGAATATCTATCTGCCTCGATTTCATAGGAAACATATTAATCACGTTGGCTAATTAAACTTCTGCGGGTCGACTCGCATCGATTCGGATGCCTTTGGGAAGATATTCTGATAAATTGCACCCAATTGATCGAATGACATGAGTTACAACAAATCAACTGTGAGTTACGCCACCATTTGATGTTCGCAGGTTTGATTATTCCCTGGAATTTATAACGCCACGACAAAAATCCTGATTTCTTAGCGAGATCAAGGGCATTTTACTAAACCAGGATTATTACTTGCTGATTACAATAAATGACTATTACCAAGTGAACGATTCATATCACATGCATGGCTGAACTTAAAGAAGGTACTTCCTGCAGTTTGGAATATTATATTAGTATAATTTCAGAGTTGAACAAAGAGTTTCCAGCAATCTGATTGGTCGAGCGGTTCCTTATATGACGCTATATAAACCGCTCCGCGCGGTTTATATAAAATTTTAAACTAAAATGTTAATAAATGTTACTAAAATATTATGATTTTAGAAATTTCTTTGTTGTTCAGCTGAAAGTATACTAAAACAATTATTCGCCTCAGGTTCGGTGAATATTGTCAAATAAACCCCTCGACTTCGTCTCGGGGATTATGACGATATTCACCTCGCCTTCGGCGAATAATTGTTAAATATTTTCTCTCGGAAGAAGTCAGAAGGAGCTAGTTGCCAACACCATTTTATTTATGCCATCATTATCGCGGACAACCATGCCGCACCTACACATTTCCATGGGTTCCTATTCATGTTCTCTGCTGTATTTGTATCGAAAAAGTAGAGGTTTATCCCAGAGGTAAATATGCAGAAAGAGGGTTTCCTTGTTGAATTGCTTCGTCAACAGTGATACCTACAGATTATTCCGTGGGTATTAAAGAAACTCGTGCTCTCGCGATCGTGTGAAGCATGCATCGTATTTTCACGTGGAAAACGAAATCTTTAGCTAAGCATTTGCGTACGTAAGTTCCTAAAAAACGGACAGCAGTGATGCCAGTAGTTATCTGTTTATGAAGAAGTTGTTTTGTGATGTGATTACGAACTCTTTGTACCTTGTTCAATATCTTACAGCTACTTTGAATCGTATTCGCGCGTGATTTTGTGATGTTTTGAGAATGTAGAAAGATTACTTCCCAAGTGCCTCAGTTAAGTCAGAAAACACGTTCCATTTGTGTCTGAAAAATTATTAAAGCGGCCTTTTTGTCGCTGTAGGTTAAAAGATAAACTTTGTCCTGTGGTGTGTTACGATTGATAGCGACTGTCTACTGTAGGGGGTGAAACAAAGTGATGAGATTTAATAACAAGACAAACTGTTAGACTAATGAAAACATATTAATTTCCATTTGTTTTGGAAGATAATTCCCCATTTGATAGCTGGCCAGCCTCAGAGCTGGTGTTTGAAGTTTTGCAAGTGTCGCCAATGTGTTGATCAAAGTAATCGAGGATATTTTCAAAGCGTGTAACACTTTGTTTCAGATCTTTGGTTGTTTTCCGCGTTGTCGTTATTCATTGTTACAAGCAATATTAAACAAAACAAATTGGTCAAAATTGATAAGGCGTTTTATTGCGTCTTTTATGACAGCTGTAATAAGAAAATGATTCCTCCAACTCTTGGTTAATTAAATCTGTCTCTTATCGATTTATTTCCATTTACGCCAGTGTTTTTCATTATCGGCTTTGTATTCAACGAATTGAAGGTTCCCTGAGGATCCCGGAATAGCTAAACTGCGGACTCTGTCAAAACAGCTTCCAACCGCTTTTGAAAGTTTTCAGCCGCAATTTAATTTAAAGATCAATTAGTCCGATCTTTTGAATAGAGAAGGAGGTGATAGAAGGTCAAACTATTGCTAGGAGGTCCTTTGACTAATCAAAAAACAGTGTAAACAGTTTCATTAAAACAACCACTTCCATTCTCTAATGAAGTGAGGAGGTTGAAAAAAAAAATCACAAACACAAAGAAAACACCAAACATCAGAATTCCTTGAAGGAAACGAATCCTTCAACAAATTCTAAATTCTTCCTTGGTATTTCTTTCGTTTTTTCCTTTTTTTCTTTATGTGTTTCATTGTTTATTTCTTTGTGTTTGTTCTGGTAGTTAAAGATGTTTAAACTGCCGGAGGGTTAAAGGAAAAAATCCGAATAAAAATGGAAAGAATGCGATAACAAATTGCGTCGTCTTGAAGGTCAACGATTTTCTAAAAGGAGAAATGAACTCTCACAGCTTACGATCTCCCTGCCGTGTGAATAATTTTGCAGTTTTCTGTCAGTTGCTTCTCTCTGTGTTTGGTTCTGTCGTTCTGGTTAATAAGTTGCCTGAAGCTCAATAAGAACCCTGGCGCTGTGTATATCATATGCATTAAAGGCGCTAACGATGCTAAATTGGTGTAAACATGATATAAATGAGCAAAGGAGCATTGCGATAATATTTATTACGAATTTGTCCCGGCTATTCATACATTTAATTTCCTCTTCATTCTTTTTACTCGTTTAATCTCCGACTGCCCCTAACCGAGCGTTCTTTGAAGGTCTGAGGGTGTCGTCTCGACTGGACTGGACCATATATTCCTTGTTCGTTCCTCTCTAATTGACACATAGTGAGCAATTTTCATAATTTAAAAGAAGCCAGTTCATTGCGATAAACTTTTCGATGAAGTCTAGTAAGTAAGCCACGTTCTTGAAGGAGCTAAGTTGCCTCATATAACATGCATGACTGGTCGCCTGACTGATTGAAAAGATCAACAGATTAGGATATATAACATCAACTATCACAGTGGGAAGAATTCAGTGGTGAACTAAGTCTCTAACTGCTCGGACCGAGATGCGTTCAGCTGTTGGTTTCTGCGTTTGCGTGCGAATTTTCCTCGTCACCGTTGCTTCAAGCTATGCCGTAGACTATCCTAGAGGTAACTGTGTGGCAAATTGTTTTTTTGGTTTCGATTTCAGTTTATGAGGAGAACGCATAACGTTTGCCGGCAGAGTGAACTTAAGCTGGCGCTGTTAGACATTGCTCCTCCGTTTGATGATATGTGACTTTCAACAAGCCTCTTCTTATCGTAATGTAAATACGTGTATCTTTAAAGCCGTCGGAATGGAAGTTCTTCTCCGACTTTCTTTAGGTTTGATGCAGGTGCAGTGACATGTGTTTCGGCGGCATTTTACATGCCTCACTTCATCATAAAAGTCTACGAACTAACCTAACTCATCAACTGCAAAATCTCTTGTTTACTGTCGTTCTTATGAGGCTTGGTAATGCTTTTTCAGAATTTTCAGTTATCGTTGAAAGAGGAAGATCTTACGCTGCACGCTATGATTTTCTCTGCAGTTCTGAGTATGTCCTCTCCTCGATATACTCAGTATCTCTAATTGCTTTTATTATTCCTTCGTAATTTTGGCGTACGATTTCTTGAAAACTAAAGTACGCCATATCCTGAAACTGAGCATTTCATGTCATTTCTTGTAGTTTAAACTACGCTACTGCCAAAGTAATTTAAAGCTGTCCAAACAATGTCCCATGTAACAGCGTATGGCAAACTGGTTGACGAGTCTCCAGCATGACGGAATGGAAAGAATAAACTGTTAGAACTTCAAGTCAGAAAGAGAGATTAATTTCATTTTACCAGTTTTCAACCTTGATGTTGTTTAAATTGTCCTGGTTGACAGGAAATTGATGTACTTGCCGCCAATTATTTTGAACTACAATCAATTTTCGTTTCATACAGTTTGAGGGTTTTGTCAGTTCTGCTGGCATGGATCGTAAAATATCAGCTTTACAAGACTGAGACAAGAAAGGTCTTTATTCTCGGTTATGTGATGCGTTTTCCAGCCATGAGAGAATGTGATCTGACAGGCTTTGGACGAAGGAACATGTTCTTTGAAGTTTTAAGACCAATCTGACAACTATGGCAATGATATTCACAACGAAGTGAAATTTTCTCTCGGCATTCGTGATATTAAAATTACACATTGTTTTAGTTGTTAGGGTCTGCGTTGGCAATTTCTGCTATAATTGTCAGAGACGAGACAAACAAACAAAATACTTAATGTTAAAATTTCCCACTCATTAGCATTACAATAGTTCTTGCAAAGTTCTACGTTATTTTATTGTCTTGTCGGATTCTTTTTTTAAGCAGCCGGAAACAAATTGAAAACGAGGGAACTTGTTCCGTTCCTTTCAATAAAATGATCATGTACAAGAGGTACTTTTTCGCAAATTTTTCGCGGTAACTTCATGATCGCTACAAAGAACAGATGCACCCGAAGTTTTCCGCGTAACCTATCTTTTTATTCAATGATCAAATTGTGATTGATTGTGTCTGGGTATACTTTTGATTATTGATTAAAGAGTATAATTAACAGGAAAACCACTAAAAGGCTCATGTAGTGATTGTTCATAAGCGGTTTAGTTTCGGATCAAGGAATACCAGAGTTGTAAATTCAGATTAAATGAAGAAAAAGGACACCGCAGATAAAATTAATCGAAAATGAAACGCCTTGTTGCGATAAAGAAGTGATTAAGAGGAATGAAATTTGAAGTGATGAACTTCAGATCGAATCAATGGGGAATAAGATTTATTTCTGCGTTATAACAAAGAGTCCTATTTTTAAATACAACTGTAATAGAAAGCTCTGGTTGTTAGTTTCCAAACGTGTAGCTCGTGTATTTTCCTGTTATCTTTTTCCCTGTCTATTATTTCTTCGTTGGTTAATAATTATTACTTAATAAGTTTCTTAGTTCAATCAGTTTCTTTAAGCACATGCAGCAATATCTAACTGCTCGACCAAAGTAAGTCTTTCTGTATTTTACATTTAAGATCTTTCCCTTTTTGGTCTGCGGCATTACTGGTCATTTCTCGCTTTCAGTTCACTTATAATCGCTTCATTGTTGATTAGGCTAGTGTTACATCTCTAAAGGAAATTTTCTTAATTTAGTTTCTGCTGTATTTTCTTTTAGTTCGAACCATACAAATTGAGCCACATAAATTCAGCAACACAAATTCAGCCACAGCCGTCAATCGTGACTTCGCAATCTTCGATCTCTAACTTCGCTTTTTTCATCCATGATTACACACCGATCTCTTTATTTTCATTTGTTATTTTGATTACCTACCGCATTTGATTAAACCGTGATTTCTACTGTGCGTTCGAATTGTCTTCTCCGCTATATTAGTGACTTTTGGAGGTTACACTGATTTCCTTTGCTGTTAGCGCAAGTACAAGTACAAAAAACAAAAAAGCCAAAACAAAACAAAAAATCAAAACAAAACAAAAACAAACAAACAAACAAAAAAAAAAAACGAGACAAAACATGGCAAACAATACGTCCAAAAGTTTCCTTGAAAGTGTACGGCTATTTATGGAAAGAAAGTCCAAGTTTTCTGAGCCACTTTCTCAGTGGGGAATTGTCTCCTCTAAGAGAGACTTTGTTAAACGAAGGGAGAAGACAATTCCAATCGCTAATGAGGGTTCAATTATCACTGCTTGAACACTTGCCTAATTGTTCTTTTCTTTTTCTATTCTTGGTATAAGATAAAATCGCCTTTAGGTGGATTCTAACCTTGGGTCCTATAAATAGATATAACAGGTGTCAAAGAGATTGTAAACAATCTTCAAGATGCCAAATGTTGAAACATGACATATAGCCGCGCCTTCGAACACTATTATAGACAAAACTGAGTGGATGAAAGCAGTGTCCAATAGCAAACCATGAATGGCATTAAAGGTTTTTTCTATAAGAATATTTTTGCAAATATTTTTGCAATGATTTCTGCCACGATTAGAAAAGCGTTGTAATTGCTTCGCTTTGAAACTTACACCACGTTTTTCAAGTTCGTCGTTTTCAAAATGTCTGAATTCGAAAGTATTCTTGCGAGTTTTTCCCGGCTGAGCCGCCTTGGTTTTATCTTAAAGTCATCTCTACTCAAAGACAATAGGCTATTCCGGAAAACTAAACAATTTCACTTTCATAATGAAGCCAAGTGGAAAAATTTCTTACATTTAATGGCCATTTATCTGGGAATAACTTATCATTTTCGCATCAAAAGGTCAGCAATTACCAAAGTTTAAAGACAGAAGTTTATAGAGGAGAAGGAAAAAAAGTTACAAAAAATGCTTTGGATAACATTTCCTTTCAAGTTGAATGACTCTATTGAAATCCAGTCCCAGCTGTAACCTCATAAGTGGCTCACAGAGAAAGTTCAAGAAAAATTGGCCATCAACTGTTAAAACAACAATCTGAATCGTTTTTGCTAACCTAACAGCCGCCATATTGGTTTTTACCACAACAGTAAAACGGCGACCATGTTAATTTGCTGAGTCAGTCCGAAAGGAATAGAACTCTTTCTTTATGCAAACCCTTGTTTGTTCCAATAAGTCTACTCAGTATTTACTAAAACAGTGGATAGCGTTGAAAGCGCACTTCGATTGGCTATTCAAACTTCGGATATCCTTTGCCACTCACCTCGGTGTCAGTGGCCAGCTATCTACCATTATTGAATTTTGTATTTCTTGTGTTCTGATTGGTTCACTCAACACTGATTATCAGCTCATATTCTGAGTCACCTTATTTAGAAATGCATTGCACCAACTGCTGCAGGGCTGAAAAAAGCTCCAAATATTCCAAATTTTAAAAAGTTTATTTTCCCTTGTTGGATAGCTAACCCTGCGCTATCTGCCTCGTGGGCTATTTATTGTCTCCTATCCAACTCACACTTTAAACAATTATTGGATGAGGTTTTTGTGATATCCGGAATAATCAAGGTCTCGGTTGGTGCTATCAGCCGAAGCGGAAGGCTTCGGCTAATAACATTAACCGAGACCTTGATTATTCCGGATATCACAAAAACCGAATTCAATAATTGGTTTATTATACATTTTTTTAAAGAAAATAACGTCAAAACGCATTATCGCAGCGAACACCTTTTATTTTCGAACAATTAAAAATTCACTACTGTGTGGTAAACAAATTTTTACTGGGGCTAATTCCTTTTTGTCGTGTGGCTCCTGGATATTTTTCTCTTTAAGGTATTTATAGAACAGTTCCTTCATCACTTTTGTCGATCTTTTAGTATTTTCCGAATCTTTATCTTSAAGTAATTTCTCAATTTCTCGCTGGGTCGATGAAGCGAATCGAGAAGCCATTCTTACTTCGCTGTCCGTGAACTTGACATTGCTCCATCGGAAGTCATGCATTACGCGCGCAACCTACAGATTATTCACTAATCTGTAGGTACAGTGTAGTGAATAATCTGTAGGTACAGTATAGTGAATTATCTGTAGGTTGCGCTGTTTCCCAGAATTAACTGTGTGCGTTTAGCCAATGAGAAGACAGAGGGTGACTAGAATGTATAATAAATGTAAGAAATGTAATAATTGGATCTTTAGCAAGTCACAACGGGGACGCAACGAGGACGTGGCAAAATGAAAGATCTAATGAGCAGAACAATAGCCAGCACGTGCGTTTTAAAAATTTATACATTTCTCGGCAGTCCTCTGCAAAACAACAACGTGAAATCGCCAAAATTTGCGTCGTCTGCGAACGGAAACCGCGACAGCAAATTATTTTAATTTCCATTTGGAACTCAATGCTACTTATACGTTATGCTGAACTTGAAGTGTGGCACCGTAGGGGACGGTAAACGTATGCAGCCATTTTCGAAATTCTAACTAAAAATAGAAATTCAATTTTTAATCAACGTTTTCTTTGGTGTTACCGTCCTTACTGCTTGAGGTCCCTATTGTTGACTAGTCACCTCAACTTTAATGAATATTTGTTAAATAACAATTAAACATTTGATGGAAAACATCTTAACTATGAATAAAAGTAATTAGACAGGCCGGCACGGGCTCCCTGCGTGATAGATGTGATATGGTTATAAGTGCCTTTCATAATTTGGCTCTTACAAGCATGTCTTTGAGAGATCTACCTCTTTTGTGGGCTATAGTGGGTGGATTTCTGAAGATGGTTTTCAGCAAGGGCTGGTTTTGTATTAAATCCCAGTTTTGCATCGATATTTTTGTAAAGTTCCGCACTGACGGCTGGTATGTTGTGATTTGTTTTTGCGTTTTTTTCTTTTGTATAAGGGCCGACTGTCTTGTGGCAAAGCTAACTTCTGATAGTGTTGCTCGTATTAGTTTTTTTTTAGGGTATCCGTGCGTGATAAGGCGCGATTTAAATTTTGAAAGGTTGTCTTCGAACGTTGTTTCAGAAGAGTTCGTTCTCAGAAGTCGAAGGGCTTTCCCTTTAATAAAATCTCGTTTTATGCCCGGTGGGTGACACGTGGTGAAATGTGTGTACTGACAAGTTTCAGTCGGTTTGTAATGAGTACGTATGCCAAGGATGAATTCATTCCTGAATCTATCTCCTTCATAGATTATGGTGTCGAAGTTAGCCAGACAGTCAGAAAATTAAACAAGTAAGAAATCGAAGTATAATTTCTTCCGTTAGCTCTTTGTGAGAACCGAAATACTTACCGCTATATTTTTATATTTTACTTGTTTACCCTAAGATTCAACTTCATCCTTATTTTCTACATGTACAATTTAACAGGTCCCGGATGCGGTGCGCTCCTCACAGGCAACGTCGTCAATTACACATATACAGTCTCGAAGAAGTCTTTTAATGAGAGCCTTGATGAAAGTCATATTTTTTTGAATAGCACAGGGGCTTGGTGTCCATTTCGTGATGACCAACTTGCGTGGCCAGAATTCCATTTTGGTAAGAAATATTAACCTTTTTAGGATCAAGTTAATCAATTGACGTAGTCTCTACAATACATTTGTTTTTCCCCTTAGTCGATAACACTTGCCAAATAAATCTTTGCCAAAACATGCTTAAGAAATGATATTTTTACTGGCAACATGTTCAACTATGTAGGCATAATTGCCTTGAGCGAGCTCAGCCGAATTTCTTCCTCGCATTTTTTTAAGGACCGAGCGCACAGCTAGGGCTTACACTATTGACAGCAAATGCTTGGTCAAAAGCCCTCACACCAAAGGGTTTCCAAATAAATACAGAGAACTCACCGTGATATTGACTGATTTGAAAGAAGTAGTCTTAACTATGTTATTGCTAAGACCATTCGAAAATATTTCTTGTAAACATCGGGTAGCAGTCGTGAAATAACTTTGAAAGCAAAGCACTCAGGAGCACTTCTATATCTTCGTGAGTTCAAAACATCGATGGAGGACAAAAGACTTACGAAATTTTGGCGACACATCGCATTATTGATCATAGTTTTACTATGATATTTTTATGCTTTGGTGGCAATTGGTTACGAAAATAGCTTTGCTTTGCGACTCAATATCGAGTATGATATTCAAAATGTTTCGTTCTTTTTTAACAGAAAAGCAAGTAAACATTACAGCTTTCGAATATCAAGGACGAAGTAACAGCCAAGACTATATCACGAGGCTTTCTATCCAATTCAGACCCATCGTGAGGGATGGTATTTACTGGAACTTTTTTCCAACTCAGGATAACCGACAGGTCAGTCATATTTAACAATTATTCGCCGAAGGCGAGGTGAATATCGTCGAATAATCCCCGAGACGAAGTGGAGGGGATTATTCGACAATATTCACCAAACCTGAGGCGAATAATTGTTTTAGTATAACTTCAGAGCTGAACAACAGAGAAATTTCTAAAATCATAACATTTTAGTAACATTTATTAACATTTTATTTTAGCCTTTTATATGAACCGCGTGGAGCGGTTTACATTGCGTCATATAAGGAACCGCTCGACCAATCAGACTGCTGGAAACTCTTTGCTTAGCTCTGAAATTATACTAAATCTTGATTCAATTCCGCGCTTAGCACTGAAAAGCGCTTAGCACTGAAAAGGATAGGCGCTCTATAAATATTTTATTATTATATTATTAATTCCCGCTAAGTTTAGTTAGATTACAATTACGTCGGGTGCTGTGCGCAGCCGTTTTTTATACTTTGTGAGACAACACGAAAAGAAGAGAAATCAACCTGTAAGGAAACCTTTTTTTCGTACAAATATTGCAGTATTTTTATTACACACCGACCACGGATGCAGACGAAATCGGTCACTTCCAAGTCAAAGGATTGCTGGCTCAGGGAGTAAGGATTAGAGCCTTTTCGTGGAGGAAAATCTGCTTTCGTGTTGAGATATATGGATGTGTAATAGGTAGGTCATTCATTCCCCTATGAGGGGGAAAAGGTTTTGAGGTTTATAGCTGTACCACGATAAAAATTACCTCAGTAGCAAGAGGAACACTTTATTCCCTCTTGTAATGGGTTAGTTGTAAATCAATTTTCTTTAGTCCGCCTTCATACTCTTTTGGCGAGGAACGATTCGTCTACGTTCTCCCTGAAAATCATGTGACCTTCCCCCCCCCCCCCAGATCTAGATTAAACTCTCCACCCTCCAGGCAATAATTAATGACTGTTTCCCTAAAACTGGCACAAACAATCTTATGATAGGTACTTGCATACTGTAAATCACAGAAAAACTACCTCCCTCTTAGTTCGCATTATACTAGAATCACTAGCTTCTTCTTCATGGGAGAAGATTTACTGAAAAAAATTTATATTACATGGTGTGCTACAAGTCGACTTCGAAACTCTTTAACCTTCTAATCGCAAATCACCACTTCCTCCCCTATTTCCTCAATACTGTCTTCGTAATTTTTTTCTGAAGAATCTCGGTGGGCCAGAGTCTTAAAAATCCTCGACGTGCCAATCACGCGCTCGTAAGTGGTTCAGCTTTTCACTTTGCAGACCACGGTTTCCCATGCCATTCGCAGCAAGGCGGAAAACAGCAAATTAGAAGAAAAATCAAATAAGTTACTGACTCGGTTATTCCGTGCGGGAAGACCTCAGGCACACTTTGTTCCCATTACACATCCTGCGCTCAATGAAGTACACACTGTTTTTCCTCGAATAAGTGCGTAGGCGCTTATTCGGCTTAAAGGAGGGGCGCTTATCGAAAGGAGAGCGTTTAATCGAGGGGAGTACTATTAATTAGGAAAAAAAAAATTCTCCTGTACTGATTCCGCTTTATTCGTAAATAAAAGCAGCAATAGAAACAGGTTCTCTTTGTATCCCTACCTTTCAAAAAAAAGGAGGAAGGAGGGGGGAACGGAACACTCATTCGAGGGGGCGCCTGTTTGATTTTATGGGTGGGGGGGTACTCATTTGGAGGAAGGGCACCTATTAGAGCGTGGGCGCCTATTCAAAGAAATATGGTATATTTATCGCAGGTAAATTACACGCCACTCTAGTTGAGGCAGTTCAATTTGCCCCATTCGTAACCTTTTAAAATACTTTTATTGATTTGCCTTAGAGAAACCCTTTCACACACGTAACTCGGAAAGTTTTCAATTTTCAAAACTCGGTGCTCTCTTCGCAATCCAGTTGCAAGTTTCCTGTCCCTCAAGAGTTAAAAAAGGACCTCATTCGGAAGGAATGGAGGCGGGGGTGTTAGGAGGGGGGATATCTCCTAATGACACGACTCTTTAACCCATCAGTCTCAAATAATTTTGTTTGCTAAAATAAGCAACGACGAGATTATCATTTTTTTCAACAGTAAATGGTGGACTAACGAATTGGTCAGACTGGACTCGGTGTTCCAATCCATGTGGTAACGGAAGCAGTTTTCGATACAGAACGTGCACTAATCCCGCTCCGCTTAATGGGGGAGCGGACTGCGAAGGGGACTTGTACGAGATGATGGAATGTAAAGGAAATGAGTGTTCTGGTGGGTGAAGAAACAGTAACCGTGTGAAGAAAAAAAATAAAAAAACTTTCAGAAGTTTTAAACGTAAAGGTATTAATTAAACGATAATAGAGTGCAGATGAGAGAGATTTTTGTGGATTGTTCTAATGCGCAAATAGTCTTTGGTGAACAGTGACCATGAATCGGCTAATTAATGAGCTTAGTTACGACTCAACTAAGGTAACATTTTCATTTTTTGATAAAACATCCATTATTCAGTATTGCATTTTATTTCACAGTCGATGGCGGCTTTTCTGAATGGTCCGAATGGAGCACCTGTAGTGTGTCGTGTGGGACTGGATTCCAATTACGTCAACGAAATTGCACCAAGCCCCCTCCGGCGCATGGTGGACAAAAATGCGAGAGCAAAGATTTCACAGAAGTGCAAAACTGCTCGGCACCAGTCTGCCATTCGAAAGGTAAGTGTATTTCAAAATGTTGTTCTTTCTTGTGCATGATAATTGTCCTGTACAAGAGTATTTTGCGCTTTTAACGCCTCTATCAAAAATGTTTTCGCACCAAAATGTTAGAATGATGTATAATTCTGTTTTTCCTGTACACATTGCAAATAATAAACCGCTGACAGGATCAGCCATTTATATTCCCTTTGTTTGCTTAATTTTGACATGCGCCACAAGAGGTTAACATCGGCGTTTTTTTTCTCGAAAACGAGAGTTTAAGCTTTTTTGTAATTACCCGCTTTCTCACACAATAATCAAAGAGCTGAAAATAGCGTTGTGTTTCTCTGAAATCATTCAAAACCGCTTAATCCCAACTTTTTCCACATCCTATTTAAATCAATTCATCTGACATATTTAGTTGTCATCGTCGCATCAGTCAAATAGTGCTGAAATGATAAGAAATTATCCAAGAAAAACTCTTTTAAGTAAAATATCTCGATCGGACAATATTGATCCATCTCCTCTCTGACCAACATTAAAGAAAAAACGGGAAAGCACCCAAACTAGAACTGCTCAGTTGTTTTTATTTTTATTATTGTAGTACGCATCCATTGACCATTGAACGCCATAAACGAGTGAATTAGAGTCGTAGTTCATTAAAATAATCAGTTAAAAAAAATTGTGCTGCCTTTTCTCGTTTTCTGATGCTCTAAAAAACTTCAGCCTATTATGTTTCGGAACAGTGATTGACCGGATTGCTTTTTTGTTCCACTGTTTAATTGCTTTGGCGATGTATCGCTAGAACAATATATGATGACGCATACCTGGCTCTAAGATAAATCACTGTAGCGATATTTCGCTGAAGTAGTTTATCGTAAGGATGCATCAACGATTTATCGTTGCAGCGATAATTCGCTGGAACGATATATCGTCAGAACGAGATATCATAAGAAACCTCCGATATCTCGTAGACTTAATGGAAATATCTCGGAAAAAACAAAGCGCGACATTTGACGTTATAATCTAATAAACAATTTTTCTCGTGTGCGATTGGTCTAACAGCATCATGTGATCGAATATGCTCCACCTAAAACTGGGGAATATCTGAGGAAATACCCCAGGTGATATTGCCAAATTTAAAACCTTAAGTTCACTACGACATGCCTTGTTGAAAATGTAATTCGAGATGAGAAAACGCATTGTGGTTATTATAGAAAACGGGAATTGTTTTTTTGTTCATTAAGTAGTACCAGAGAACAGTGAAAAGTGAAAATCCCACGCAATAAGCGGTAAGCTGTTCTAAAACATTTTTTGTCTCACAAGTTGCAAAAATATTTGAAGAATGATAAAAACAATAGCTTCCATTTCGCGAAAATATTCTCGTATCTTTGTCCTTGGACATTATCTGTTCCTCAAACCTCACAGTTTTTCTCAAGCTTTGCTCTCGGAAAACTGTTTGTATCTCTGAACAGATAATGTCCGCAGACAAACATCCTTGCGTATTTTCACGCCAAATGGAGGCTATTGTTTTTAAAATCGTCTACATTACTTTTGCACAGTGCCGTATATTACTAAGATTCTGGTGATCTTTAAGGTTTGAGAAGTAAAAAATAAGCTCGAAGTATTACAGTAGTATTTAAAAGAGTTCTCTGTTTTGTTTTGAAAGTTGATGGAGGTTTTTCAGAATGGTCCAACTGGACCACTTGTAGTGTGTCTTGTGGGACTGGATTCCAGTTACGCCATCGAAACTGTACCAGTCCTTCTCCGGCTTATGGAGGAAAAAGTTGTGAAAGCAAGAATTTTACAGAAGCACGAACATGTATGATGCAAGCTTGCCATTTGCCTGGTAATCATATCAACGTTGTTAATGTTTTCTTGGTAGTTATCTTTTCGTAACAAAATTGTCTATGGGAAAGATTTCAATTTTTAACAAGCCATTTCGATGCATTTTTTTTTACGTCTTTCCAATGACCATGGAATAACGTAAACATTGATGAGAGTTTAAATTTTTGTCTTGAAAGTCGATGGCGGTTTATCAGAATGGTCTAACTGGACCACTTGCAGTGTGGCGTGTGGGACTGGATTCCAAATACGTCATCGAAACTGCACCAGTCCCCCTCCCGAGCATGGAGGAAAAAATTGTGAGAGCAAGAATTTTACAGATGTGCGATCATGTATGATGGGAGTTTGCAATTTGCCGGGTAATTTTGTTAACTTTGTCAGTATTGTTGTTATGGGTGCTATGATTGTTTTATCAATATTATTTTGAAGAGAATATTATAATTTTCTTCAACAGTTCCATGCATATCGTTGATATTCATAAGAATTTTTTTACTTCTTTTTAACAGTTGATGGCGGTTTATCAGAATGGTCCAACTGGACCGAGTGTAGTGTGGCGTGTGGGACTGGATACCAACTACGTCATCGAAATTGTACCAGTCCCCCTCCGGAACACGGAGGCAAAAGTTGCGAAAGCAGAATTTCGGTAGATGTGAGATCATGTACGATGGGAGCGTGCCATTTACCGGGTAATCTTGTTACCACTTTTTAATCGCTTTTGTTGTGCTTTTTTTTCGCCAAAAATATTCTCTGAGGAAGAGATTTCAAGTTATGACACAACATTTAAAAAGAAAAACTCCAATTTGTTCCACAGCCTTAGGTATCATTAACATTCCCTTTTTGTTTCGGACAGTTGACGGCGGTTTTTCGGAATGGTCCAACTGGACAACTTGTAGTGTCCAATGTGGGACTGGATTCCAATTGCGTTATCGAAACTGTACCAGTCCCCCTCCGGCGCATGGAGGACAAAGTTGTAAAAGCAAGAATTTTACAGAAGGGCGAATATGTGTGATGGGAGTTTGCGATCTGCCGGGTAATTAAGTTAACTTGTTGTATGATGCGTGGGACTGGATTCCAATCACGTCAGCACCAGATAACTTTGGTAATTTATTTTCGAAAACATTCAGTGTCCATTCTTACAACACGCGCTCTTCTATCTCCAATAATTTTCATGTTAACCCTCCAAACTTGAAATAAAAAAAACTTCTTCTCGAGAATTGGTAATAAACTATAAATTGAGATCCCATACTTTCTTAGAGAGCTATTTAAAAAATCATCCAAAGACAAATAAAAATATATATATTGCCAACTGTTCTCGAAGAAGAAGTATATTGATGTTCTCAAGATAATCACTGAAGCGGAAAGTAAAATGAGGCAAAGCAAAAAAGGCATACTATAAGATCATTGTTAGGATTATTTTAAAGTAATAGCTCACATTCTTATCTTCGCAATCTAGTTTCTGATGAGTGTTTTAGCATCCCACAACTCTCAATTTTAAAAACAGAGAAGCTGTTCACATTCAAAGGGGACAACCTACACTTAATCATCAATTTTATCATGTTAATTTAAACCTTTTGTTGTAATTGCAACATTGTTTTGTTTCTATTGTTGTTATGTCCCATGAGCATTGGCCACCCGCAACAAAGGAAAAATCATAATCAATTAAAATAAAAAAGTGTAATAAAACATTGTTGTTATTGTTGTTACTATTCCTAAATGATATTAATTTCCCTCCATAGTCCCAAGCATTTTTGTAATAATTTACTGTTTCCTTTAATCTAGTTGATGGAGGTTTTTCTGAATGGTCTAACTGGACTACTTGTAGTGTGTCTTGTGGCTCTGGATTCCAATTACGTCATCGAAACTGCACCAGTCCTTCTCCAGCGCATGGGGGTAAAAGTTGTGAGAACAAGAATTTTACAGATGTGCGAACATGTTTAATGGGACCTTGTAACTTGCCAGGTAATTAGGTTAACTTTGTCATTATTGTTGTTATGTGTGCTATGATTGCTGGTATTTTGTCATTATTATTATTTTTTTGCATGATAATTTTTGAAGGGAAAGACGTCAACTTTTGACAAACCATCTAAACAGGAAAATTTTTGGTTTTCTATCATTGTCTTAAGCATATCATTAATATTCCTAAGAGTTTAATGGTCTTGGCTTGACAGTTGATGGTGGTTTTTCCGAATGGTCTAACTGGACCACTTGCAGTGTGGTGTGTGGGACTGGATTCCAATTACGTCATCGAAACTGCACCAGTCCTCCCCCTGCTTATGGAGGACAAAGTTGCGAGAGCAAGAATTTCACAGAAGGGCGAACATGTGCGATGGGACCTTGTCAGTTACCGGGTAATTATGTTGCTGCGGTCTTAATTGTTGTTATGGTGGTTATTTTTCGCTTCACAGAAATGCCTGAAGAAAAGTTTAATTTTGACCAGCGATTCAAGAAAAGAAAATCTTAATTCTCTTCCACAGTCACCATTATATCACTGATATTCACATGAATTCACCTTTCCGTTATGACAGTTGATGGAGGATTTTGTGAATGGTCTTACTGGACAAGCTGTAGTGTGTCGTGTGGGATTGGATTCCAACTGCGTCATCGAAACTGCTCCAGTCACCCTCCAGCGCATGTAGGACAAAGTTGTGAAAGCAAGAATTTTACAGAGGGGAGAACATGCATGATGGGAGCTTGCAATTTACCGGGTATGTTAACGTTTTCGTTGTTTTTTTAAGTGGTCATCTTTTTGTGACAAATGGTCTTAGGGAAAAGGTCAATTTTTTGACAAGTCATTTCAAATTACACGTTTTGATTTCATTCACATTCTTTAAGACGCAGTCGACATTCGATGATGTCTCAAATATAGCGGTCTAGATTTTCCCATCTAGCCCGGCATCTAGACCGGTCTAGAAAAAAAAGTTACAAAGAATATAATGTTCCGTTGCTTTCTAGACACAGCCATATAATAAACATCTTATTAACCGAGCTAGGTCGGTCTGTATGGGAGAATCTTGACCTCGGTTGCTAGTACAGACCTCACTCCGTTCGGTTTGTACTAGCGACCCCGGTCAAGATTCTCCCATACAGACCTCCCGCTCGGTTGATAAGAACTAAATATCAGGTATGACATCCATACTTCAGGTATAACATCCATATCTCAGGTATGACATCCATGCTTCAAGTCTAACATCCATATCTCAAGTATAACATCCATACTTCAGGTATAATGCCCATGTCTCAAGTACAACATCCATATCTTAGGTGTAACATCCATACCTCAGGTATTACATCCATACCTCAGGTATAACGTCCATATCTCAGGTCTACCATCTATATCTCAAATATAACGTCCATACATCAGGCATAACATCTATCTCTGAGGTATAACATCCATACCTCAGGTATAACATTCATATACAAGGTATGACATCCATATTTCGGGTATAACATCCAAACCTCAGGTATGACATCAATACCTCGGGTATAACATCCCGACATACCTCAGGTAAAACATCCATATCTCAGGCATTACATTCATACCTCAGGTATAACATCCATATCTCAGGTATGGCATCCTTATCTCAAGCATTACATCCATACGTCAGGTATAACATCCATACCGCTGGCATAAAATCCATATCTCAGGTATGGCATCCACATCTCAGGTATAACATCTATATCTCAGGTATAACATCCATACCTCGGGTCTAGCATTCATACCTCAGGTATAACATCCATACCGCTGGTATAACATCCATATCTCAGGTATGGCATCCATATGCATATCTCAGGTATAACATCCATGATATCTCAGGTATAACATCCATACCTTGGGTATAGCATCCATGCCTCAGGTATAACATCCTTACCGCTGGTATAACATTCACATCTCAGGTATGGCATCCATATCTCAGGTATAACATCCATGATATCTCAGGTGTAACAACCATACCTCGGGTATAGCATCTATACCTCAGGTATAACATTCATACCGCTGGCATAACATCCATATCTCAGGAGTATGGCATCCATATCTCAGGTATAACATCCATATCTCAGGTACAACATCCATACCTCGGGTGTAGCATCCATACCTCAGGTATAACATCCATACCCCAGGTATAATATCCATATCTCAGGTATTAAATCCATACCTCAGGTATAACATCCACACCCCAGGTATAATATCCATATCTCAGGTATAGAATCCATCCTTAGGTATAACATCCATATCTCTGGTGTAACATCCATACTTCGGTTATAACATCCATACCTTCAGTATAATATTCGTGCCCTAGTTGGCTAAAATCCTCATACTTAAATGTACCCCTCAGAGGATTTGACACTGGCAATATTTACCTCCATTTTCTTATGTAGTTTGGAAAAAACTCAGAAATGTAAGGCAAATTCAATAAAGTTCTTTTCCAAGTAAGACGTTTACTCTTTTATTCCCAGACTCAAAGTATGTAATTGTAAGTTCAAAATCGTATCAAAAAAAATGGAGCTAACATTATCATGTAGAGGGTAAGAGAACGATTAAAGCAAGTATTCATCCAAGAGTCGTATACATTTTTTTGTTTTGCTTTAACAGTGGATGGCGGTTTTTCAAAATGGTCCGCTTGGACCACTTGTAGTGTGTCGTGTGGCACTGGACTCCAATTCCGTTATCGAAACTGCACCAATCCCCCTCCCGCTCATGGAGGGAAAATCTGCGACAGTAGAGAGTTCAACGAGGGAATTTTTTCTGATGGCCCAAATAAGAACGTCCTGTTTTTATTGAGGCTTTTCCAATTTATCCATGACTTCAGTATATTTGCAAAACAAGATATTAAGTATCAGCCGATCACTGAAAAAATGTCATGAACACATTAACATTACAAATGACTCAAATAAATGACTTTAAAACTTCTTTAACCTGCAGTTAAGGGTTCTGCTAATGCTAACACCGGCGCTGGTGCAAGAGGAGACGGGGAGGAGGAAGGCGACAATGAATACCGTAAGTTTACCATAAAGGCTCGGGAAAGGAGGGAGTCGGTTACTTTGCCTTTGTGAGCGATTTGGGTATGTGCTGCTGTATGAAACTAGGTCGGAAAAAGGCGAACGGATTTAAAGGGGTGTTGAACATGGTATGTTATGGCCTGAAATAGGGTCAGGATTTGAATAGCGTGGCTGCTCAAGAATCATGAGGAGAACCCTTTGCAGAGAATAAAGGGTCGATATTTTGTGAAATAAGTTTATATGTTGAAAAAGCAGTTCCACTGTTTGAAAAAATGAATGCTTATCTATGCAGTCGTTTGAACAGAACGTCGTCTGTGTTTCGCCTAGAATTTTTCAATTGGCTGGTCTGTGGTCCGTGTTTTATTCGAATGTAAGAGACAGAGAACTCCACGAAATACAATTCAAGCCGCGCCTAAGTAACTTCACGTAAATTGAAATCTGATTTATATAACTTTGGATACAATGTTATATAATTATATTGTTAGCTCAATTGGTAGAGCGCTGCACTAGTATCGCAGAGGTCAGTGGTTCGAATCCCGTACAGGCCTGAATTTTTTTCAGGTCTGATTTTCGCTATTGCTTAAATAGCGCTATCTACTGCGAGGATCGTGCATCATACTTATATAACTTTTTAATAATTTTTTTTCAGTTGTTGCGATGATAGTTTTTGCCTTGGCTCTCGCATTTTCCATTATTATTGGTGTCGCTGCCTGCTATTTGCTTCGCGATGGAAGCAGGTAGGGAAAAGTACACTGGAAAACCATACGGAATAGTCGCCATACATAAGAAAGTCATCAATTTGAGCATAATAACACGTTATAGCAATTTTAAATTGAGTATCAAAAGTAATCCGGGATTGCTTTAGATTTCTTTACTTCGCTCTCTAATTGGTTCAGAAAACTCGCGAAACTATATCAACCAATCAGATGCAAAACTCGACCCGATCACGATTTGGTCGCCCGCGTTTTCCAGCGCCTTAGGCAGTTTGGTCGGTTTTACTTTGAGTTCTCATTGGCTCTTAAAGGAATTTTCTTCTCCTCTGGTCTGCCTTTGTGATTACTTTGGTTTGTTTTTACGATACTGTTACCTAAAGTGATCACCACGCTGACCAAACAGTTTTTGAGATATGAGAACTGTATTTCTGCCAACAAAACTTTTACATGAAGAATAATGGCGACTAAACCAATAAAAAAAAAAAAACATAACACGAGGTCTCGAGTCAAGTCATTATCACGTGACCACAATTCTAGATACGCAGAGCGTACAAGCTGAACTAAATGTTATTTTAACTAGACCAATGTATTTATAGTCGCGACAGATACTTCATCGTGAAGCGCCGTAACTGCTTTCACTGTCACAGTTTCGGAAAATCCGCGAACTGCAATAAACACCAAAACCGAAAAAAGCCAAAACCGGAAATCCCAATGCTCCTTTCTATAGGAACGACGGCGTAGTGAGCATTTATCTCATTTCTTTGAAAATTATTCCACTGATTAACTTTGCAGATTGAACCCTTCTTACATGTAAAAAAGTTTGACTATAACTTTTTCTTACCCTTGTAAAACAGAACTAGCGGAGGGATGGAAAACGTACAACTTGATGGAAAATTCGTTTATGTGCTCGACGCAACGAAGACCCGAAGCCAACAAACACACACCTAGCAGTCTGAGTAGACTTTGTTCCAGTAAACATTGTTTCCCTATCACTGCATTTTTTTATACGGAAGTAAAATAACAAAAGCACATCTGTTTTCAGTTAAATCCGTGCATGTGTGTTCAGTTTGTACGCGAGTACACTTATCAAACCATTGTAAAGACTTTGCAATTTAAATAAATATTCACACAACCAATTCACCAACGAGCGAAGGTTTCTTTCATTGGAGTCACGATTTGTAGATTATTTTTTCGACAAGCGTTACCTTTGACCTGAGGCAAGCTACTCATGGTTCAGTGTGTGTAAACAAAACCAGGGCTTTTTCTTGGCAGAGGTCCATAAAGCGAATTGTTAAATGCTGCGGTAGATGCATGATTACATAACAACCGTTTCAAACGTGACGTGAAACGTGTCTTTTAATTTTTTGCATGCGCAAGTGTTTTGTTACACTGGTTGAATCTTTAGACTAATACATGTGGAGAGGGATGGATTCGGAGTTACAAAAGGAATATCACATCATCTCTATAAAGCAAACTTTCCATATTGTGTCTTCGGTATCTCTAGTTTTAGGTTGATCCGAGAACATTAAGTCAAGTTGCGAGGTTAAATTTGGCTTCTCCTTCGAGACAATTACGTCATGCTTAACCTCATGATGTGTCTGTCAGTCACTCTTAGAGAGGAATATATCTTTATAACGGAATCAACTTTCGAAACTCTAGTTTTTGGCTGATGCGAGAATATTAAGTCAAGTTGTGAGGTTAATACGTAAGGAGCCAATTAAGTCATTCTCAACATCATGCTGTGTCTGTCAGTCACATTTAATATTAAACGCCCTCTAAATATTCAACAAAGTTTAGAAAATAGCTTTTGATCAACAAGGAAATGACAGAGATTAGAAGTTAATTAATAAAAGTAATTCAGTCTTAACGAAGTGTAATTCGTTTCTAAAGATCAAAGACATTTGTAATTCAACCATCCCCACATTACAGGAAAGAGATTTTGGAGAAATTTGTTCAGAGGCCTGAGAACCCTTGAAGGAGAACAAACTCAATTGTAACACGCTTTCCTGAAACATGGCACTACAGAAGAATGCAGTGCTTAACATATCAATGAAAAACACGGCCAGACAGCCAATATTCGGCCAAAATCATTGGAGGGGCCTTAAACAGCTTTCGCTTTTCATTTAACGAGGAAGTAACAACTTGACGCAGTCTCCTAAACCTGTTAACGCTCGTGAACGACTGCGATGTTAACCAACAGATATTCATCGTGTTTGCACCAGGAATCTCGAAGGTAAGGTAGTTATCTTGTAGTGTTGGGATTAAAAGGGTTCTCTGTCTCTCAAAGGAAACCGAGTCACTTCTCGCTCAAGTATTAAAGCGCATCTGGCCATATTAAGACTCTGCGGGGGATCGATGGGAAGGTTGTAAGCTTTGCCAAAATATCAGACAACACCGTCTGGGCAGTCGTGCGTGTAATTGGACCGGATGCACTTCGATATTTGAATCCCGCAGTGAGGACAAAAGGATTACGCGTACTTAAAAAGCGATTTAGTAAGAAAAGGGGGTAAAACGGAGCGGCTCTTGGATCGATGCAGCGGAATTTGGAAACTTTTGCCGCTCGAACGGGTAGGCATTAGCAAAGCACTTTCGCGGGTGAAAATTTGAGGGAGATCAGTCCATTTTTGTGGAATTTATCAGTCTTCGAGCACAGGCAGCCCAAGCTCACTACTAGAAAAGCGGACGTGATTCTTACAGTGTTGCGCAACGTTTTATATTTATACTGAAACGTTTGTATGGGATGTTATCGGTTCGCCTTAAAAGAGAGAAAAAAATGTCTTGTTTTGAGTGAGCGCTAAGCGAGTTAGAGATCCGTCTTGTGTTATAACTGCAGCTTGTGCAAGAGCTTTTAGCCTCTTAAAAGATAACATTTAACAGCTTGAATCTTCGGCACGAGTTGGTACTACACTCAAAGGAGTCATTGCACTCTCGCAAGCCAACAACTACCGGTTTGGATATATCAACACAGTTGAAATGGTAAATTGGCCACCGTAATGATTACAATAGCTGACGTTTCGAGCGTTAGCCCTTCGTCGGAGCGAATAGAGGAATTGTGGGTTGTGTGTGCTTTTAAAGGCAGAAAATGGAGCTACGT